TACTCAACGAAAAGGCTCACCTGGAGCTAGCCTTGGCGACCGTGGAGCCAGAGCCCACATTACAGCAGGCGCTGAATGGGCCGGACAGAGCAGAGTGGCAAGAGGCAGTTGACTACAAGATCAGCCAGTTAGAGAAGCTAGGCACGTGGGAAGTAACTGACTTACCTAGAGGTGCCAACGTCATACCGTGCCACTTCATGCTGGCAACCAAACGCGGACTGGACGGAGAGAAGCTCAAGCTTCGAGCGCGCCTCGTGGCAAATGGACAATGGCAACAGTACGGCGTTGACTATTTCGACACCTTCGCACCCACCGCCAATATGATCACGATTCGAGCGGCTCTGACAATGGCGGCTCAGAACGACTGGGAAATCCATCAAGTCGATATAAAAAGTGTGTACCTTTATGCTACCGTCCAGGAGGAAATCTACATGCGCGCACCGCCAGGATACCTGAAGGAGGGCCAGAACGGAAAAGTTTTGAGGTTGAGGAGGAGCCTGCCAGGGTTGAAACAGGCAGGGTTCGAGTGGGCGGAAGAGTTGGCAGGAGTCTTCAAGGATCTAGGGTTTACCAGGTCGAAAGTGGACCAGGCCGTTTACTACAAACGTGCTCCGAACGAGCATATTGTCATCACTGTCTCCGTCGACGACATGGCCGTCACCACTAACCATATCTCCCACATACGCCACTTCAAGGAGGACCTTAAGCGATTCTTCGAGATCTCGGACCTGGGGGAGCTGAATTGGTTACTGGGGCTGAAGGTAACGAGAGACCGAGCAGGACGTACCTTAACCCTATCCCAGAAGGCCTACGTCGACACTGTCATCGAACGGTTCTACCTGAATGATGCCAAAAGTGCCCAAACACCAATGGAGACCGGACTTACCTTGTCAGTTGAGCAGGGACCGGGAACCACTACGGAGCTGGAGGCTATGCGAGACGTACCATATCAGCAGGCCATTGGGTCACTGATGTACGCAGCAACCAGCACCCGCCCGGACATAGCGTTTGCAGTTGCAACGCTGTCCCAGTTTATGCGGAACCCGGGGAGAGCACACTGGGAGGCGTGTAAGCGGACACTGCGCTACCTAAAAGGCACAAGTGAGTATGAACTCACCCTAGGCTCAACAGACGGAGGGCTCGAGGCATACGTCGATGCCGATTGGGCGTCCCAGCCCCACAGGCACTCCATGAGCGGGTATATTGTCCTCCTGAATGGTGGTCCCATCGCCTGGAGCGCCCGCAAGCAACCACTGATAGCCCTATCCACCGCAGAGGCTGAGTATATCGCCCTGACAAGTGTGGTATGTGAGCTACTTTACCTTCAGTTGCTGATCAGCGAACTCTACGACCCTGCCCCCCAACCGATTCCCATCTTCTGCGACAATCAGGCAGCCATAGCCCTCGCAACGAATGGGAAGTTTCAGTCCCGCACTAAGCACATCGACCTCCGTTACCACTTCGTCTGATCCCACGTCAAGGACGGCATCTTCAAGCTCCACTATTGCCCCAGCGAGGACAACATAGCCGACGCCTTCACCAAGGCACTCCCTCGTCCACGCCTTCAGAAGCTACGCACGCGAATGAGCCTGGCTTGCGCTTGAGGGGGAGTATTGACATCCGATTCTGCTGAGTCCGAAGATACCGAAGCCGGAGAGGAACGGGAGGAGGAGTAGAGGGTACGAGCGCAAGAAGTGTGCTGGGGACGGAAGGAACAGGGAGTACCTGTTGACGTCGGGACCGAAATGGTCCAAAGTAAATTTTTACCTTCAAAATAATCGAGAGCGCTTACCGTATAAATACTAGCGCCCAACCGTTGCGAGCGTCTCAGTTCTTTCTAGAGACTGAGATGTGAGTCTACACCTTTACCGTTATTGTTACACTTAACTGACTTAGCGTAGTTGCTCTTACCTGTTAGGTACACGCTTCGTCAATATGAGTTCTTTCTAGAGACTGAGACTTGCTCTTACCTGTTAGATCCTTTCTATCCCGCTCTACCTCTAATCTCTAGAATCTGCACTCCACCAACTCGAAAATCCTGAGACATACTAGCGAGAGGTCTATCAACCGGTGCGAAGGGAGGGTGAAGAACAGGTGGAGACCGAGGTACAGAATGGTGCATTGAATAATATGGAGGTGCATAGCCGGGTGGGGGCAGATCCATGGCTGACATTGAGGAATGAGTGACAGGCACTGGCAGCCGCGGTTGATACCTGGATGGTTGTTGAATCGAATTTGGGGGAATCATATCTTGCGGGAATTCAGGCGCCACACTATTGTCATTTTTGAGACGGCGCCTGCGAGAACGGGGGGGATTAAATAAACCATCATAGCGTTGATTTTTCTTGAGTTCCAGGTGGTCGTTGAAGTGCTGCAAATTTCGCTGTAACAATTCACCAGCGGTTTGGAGGCATTACGAGGATACGAGAACAATGTGAATGCGACTGACTGGAAAGTGCCGTGTATCAAGCCGAGTGTGCCGTAGAGGAGATTGACTTTCTTACACTCTCCTATCTGTTGTCATGCTTTCATACATGTCCACAATCCTCCGTCTATAGCATCTTAAAACAAGAGAATGACCTCTATCGAAATTGTGTTCTGACACCCTGACAAGGTGTTTGATATACCCTGGGTGTAATTTTTTGACTATCTCTCTAGGATCTATGGGATCTGGATCATTTATGATTATACAAGGTTGCAAATTACCACTATTCCGTCTCTCGCAGCTGCAACACTCAAGAAATTTCTATTCTACTTGGACAGTACATCATCTCTAAGTAGCCTACATGCATCTAAAGTTTTTCGAGGTGATTCAAGCAGCGCATTGAGGTGTTTTGAACAATTTGCATATTACATCCAGTTGCAGATTCCCAGGAATGATAGTACTTCAGTGGCCACCTAGCCAGGCCTTCCCAGCGAAAATGGAGTACCGAAGTGAGATCTGCTGGCATCTGCACAATATCAATATTCATCTACAACTTAATTCAATTGTCCGACATCCCAATCTTGCACTAGTGGCAGGCCAAGTAGTAGCGAGAGGTTGTCCCATTCTCTTCAACATATTTGCCAGCTCGCCATGCAAGGCCGACTAGCTCAGTTGGTTAGAGCGTCGTGCTAATACGGTTCGTTGCTAAGAGCGTGTGTGTGACCGGTATTCACGCCCTTACCGAGGAACTTGATACGCGAAGGTCTTGGGTTCGATCCCCACGTTGGCCAATCTTTTTGTACACTTCCCACAACGGCTCTGTCTATCCATCTTTGTTCTTGACACAATGGCAAGTGACTCAGTCACGAGGCTTTGCAGTTAGAACGGTGACTGTATCATTTGATGTTCGTACAGAGGACTCATTTCACAGCTATTTTTGAGGTGCAGGGGAAACGAATTCTGTGACACCATTCTTATTTGTTTGAAGTTTGACGATATTACAAACAAAGTCACTTCAAAATCTTCAAATCAACAAGGCTGCCCGGAATAACTTGCGCGTCACACTTGGCGGTCTGATCAGTTTCGACCATTACTCTGATAACATATTTTCCAAGCGGATATACATTCAGTAGTCCGAAGACTGCATCACACGTCTCAGTGGCAACCTCTTTGAACACTATTTCAACTCCTAGTACTTCCTGGAAGGTACGCACTCACTCGATAATTTCGGTCAATATGCTTATTTGTCCCTGTAGATCCGCAAGGGCAATACATTTCTTGTTCATGGCAGCATGCGGAATTCGAGTGATTGAGACTGATCCTGGCGCGGACCCGTCATGAGTCGTTCACTACAATTATTTCACCTAATATCTTGAACTTACAGTGGTTGTTTGACACGATTATTTGGTAAAGTGAGCGCAAGCAAGTACTTATTGTAGTGAAACTATGGTAGTACCCTACTTACAGTCCAAGTAGGTATTTAGTAGCAATTTTCCATTAACATCGAACCAATATCCTGACTCCCAGAAAAGTTTACTCAATTGCAACTTGTCATCATTGCCTCGGCTGTATTACATCATCTGCCGCATCTGGGGAGGAACAACTTTACTACGTTCTGTGATCCATCAACTCGCGATCGCTCGTGCGTCAACCGAGCCAATATGTTCTTCATCGTGAGTACATCTCTCCCAGATATCCGTCACCATGAAATCTATCATGACCAAACTTCAATGCTCAGAAAGAATTGACGCACACAATTCTCCTCCATCCGTCATACTTTGGGCCTCGGATGCTCCAGTTCCTCGAGTCAAAACTCTACTCAGACGTCGAGGGAACATGTTCAGGCGCTTTCGGATACATTATCGCTGTCGTCTCTATCCTGGATATCGGAAAAGGCATGGTACTGAGCGGAAGTGGCCAGGCCGAATTCATCACCCGCTATCGTGCAATAGTCTTCAAGCCATTCAAAGGAGAAGTGGTCGATGGGGTCGTGAATAACGTTAACAAGGTGCTCCAAACCCCGTTACCTCTCCTTGACTCGCACTGAATAGCGCGTAGATGGGCTTCTTTGCTGACGTCGGGCCGTTGACAGTTTTCGTGTCTCACCAAGTGAGTTTGAATACCCCTCCATTCTGCTTCACTCAGCATCTCGTACCATTTCTAGCTGATACATCCGGACATGAAATTTGACCCAACCTCAAATCCACCATCCTTTGCATCAGAGGATCAGGTATCGTCCATTTATGTGTCGTCCCCCTAATATCCCTACCTTGTCTCGAACAGATCATCGAGAAGAACACTCGTGTACGATTAAAAATTGTTGGAACGCGCGTGGACGCTACCGAAATCGTGAGTCTTTTAATCTTAGTGCGACTATAACTGTTAACGCAACGTCAGTTTGCCATCGGAACGATCAAGGAAGATCATCTTGGTGTTATAGACTAGTCAAAAGATCGAATTTGGACGATCACCCTTTGTATACCTGCTATCACTGTATCCGCTGTGCTATTTACTGCAAAGTACTAATGTCATCCTCTTAGTCCAATTCATGCGCTTGATTAAATACCATCGGACGAAGGCATCTCACGACATGATACCCAAAGAAAAATAAGAACCAGAATACATAGGAAAGCAACTGGCTATGACCTACAAGGATAAGTATTCCAAGTATGAGCTATTATATATATGTAGTCAAAGCAGTCTTGTCTATGCATATGTAGACCTCTGCCCCGTTCATTCCTCATCCTCGAAATGCAGGACCTGCGCATCCTCGTCTACAGGTACATCCCTATATCCACGCCTCGCACGGTAGCCCATCGATACAGATTCTAGGTTTGACGCTACATATTCGAACGCGATGCCGGCAAGCCCGAGAAGGAACCATGGTACAGATGCCAGCGTAGCCATCGCACCAGACCCTGACCCATGCGAATAGTCGCCTCCGGGTAAACGAATCGTCCTGTGTGTCAACGATAAACATACAACACGCGCACATAAAGTAGATGTCACTTGCCCTCTCGCCATTCCGCTCTTGTTGTACCACCACCATGCAACAAGCGCTGTGATTGCAAAGGGAAACAAAATGACCATCATCCAGAACATCGCGCTGTGGCCATTAATGCCGGGACACAGGTGTGCCGTGCCTCGGTCTATGCGGTCGCCGCCCTCGCAAGTGGAATAGTGCACCTTGCGGTACGCCGTGCGTTCATACCAGTAGTCTTCTCCGTTGCGACATGAATCATCGGGCGGTCGTGGAATCGTGCCTGGAACAAGAACGCATTCACCTTGCCCGTTGCGGACATAGTTGAATTCGCTGTTTTTGGTCCCAGATTTAAATTAGCTCCAAGCAGGTGGTATCATACCCGTGACTCACCACTCAAAGTCCTCCGAGGTGCATGTGCAATTCCGTACAATGTTGTCTAGTGCCTTGGGCGTGTCTCCAACGACACAGTTCACATCACGTTTACGTCGGTGGTAGAGCGTCTGCACATGACATGGGTGACAACGGAAAAACTTAAGTTAGGACGACTCACCTGTCGACCGAACAAGCAAAGCGAGTCTCTTTCCTCGCTGGGACTCCATAGCTCAAAGTCATCATTTCCAGGATTTTCTACATCCACGAGGCCTGGAATGGTGTGTTTAACATCAACCATAGAGCATAAGAGCGCTCTACTCACATTTTCTATGCGTGAGAGATGAGAAATCTAAGTGCACGACCACCGAGCCAGCCGTCGCAGGGTACCGACCCAGGAGCATAAACTTCCGACTTGTATCCTCTGGCACCGTCATAATATCCCTCACTCTGATCTTCTCAGATGTGAACTTGAATTCTCGCCAAGTAAGACCTTCGTCTATGGTAAACAGGACGTGGTCTGTCGGCTCCTCATCGTTCACAATCACGATGATAGACCCTGAGTCGCCGAACTCCCAGAGATGGGCGTCCTTGTGAACTTCTTGCCATGTGAACCCGCCATCCCGGGACAGGAAGGTGTCGCTCTCCGTGTACGTGGCGAGTGACTCACCCACGTTCCCGACTGCCATCACCACGCCGACGACGGATGGGCTGCTATATGTTGCCCGAGCGTCAAAGCGTTCTGTATACCCGTGAACGTGGAGTGCACAGGCCTGCACACGACAAAATAAGTCAATTGACAGTGATGCTCACAAAAGCACAACATACCACTGATGTACAAGGGTACCTCTGACCTAGCGAATCCACTAAAGGAGGTAGAAGCGGCTTCCACGTGCCACCTGACGCAACGAGCAACGATCAACAAGAAGCAAAAGATACCCATGAAACAAGGCATACCGTCATTATGCGTGATCCTCGTCTGCAGAGCCTTACGTCCTGTGAGCGCAGCCTCTGCAGGATTGGCCACTACGTTAATCAGCGCAATGCCATCTAACCCCACGAACTTCTCAAAGTCTACATAGCCGGCATTATTCCTGTTCACGTTCTCGATGGACAGCCCAAAGTAAGTTCCATTGGAGTTGGATTTGAGGATGTTGCCCCATGGCGTCGGAACCTCGTTCATGGTCATGTGTAGGAAAATCGAGTCAGTGCTTGACTCGAGGACAGTGTATGCCTAGAAAACATCATGAACAATCCTATCGTTTGTAGAGTTAGGGCGAGCTGCGTACGTGGGAATCTGGATGCATGCCAGGAGGGAAATTTCCAGACGCAAACGTCCGTCCATCAAGTGAAACCTGCAGGTTAAGCGTGCCCCTCATTGGGAGGTACTGCATGTACAAAACTAGTCAATCAACAGCGCACGCACAGAACAAGTAAAAAAACTCACCTCAGCCACGATCAAAAACTCTGAAAACTTGGTGAACCCCACGACGTGATCAAACAACTTTGTCTTCGTCGCATAAAAGTCTGTCCCAGACACAAGCTGTAACGCATTCTCTCTCCCGAAAAACACCTGCGAGCCCTGTTTGTCTGCATACGACTCGCATAGGATCTGAGATGAATCGATCCGCAGCTCCTCATCGCGTGCCCAGTCACAGTTGACGACGTAGTCCTCCACCAACTGCCAATTCCGTCCATGGTTCCATGTGTACTGGGCCTGCGCGCGACACTTTTCGTACCCTGATTGGCAGTCCACATTACCAATCCAGATGAGATAGTCAGTCTTGGGCTGGAAGCGGAGCACTTGGGCCCCGAAGGTGTTGGGAGGCGAAGGCGCTTCGGAGGGATGCCAGTAGCGGCCTGTGTCTGTTGTGTAGTAGAACTTATTGGAGTCGGTGATAAGGTATGCGCGTTCGTTGCTGTGTGTGTGCATATAGAATGCTAGGAAACGCTCCTCTGAGAACTTTTGTTCCCATGTGTAACCCTCATTGCTAGATTGCCATATTGTGAAGTCGGCAAGACGAACGAGGACCGTCTATGGAGGCAGACGTGAGCTGAGGTATTGATATGGTAAGATGTACAGGACGCTCACCTTTGAGTCCTTGAAATACTCGCTCTGTACGATATCACTAGGGAATGGATGCTATAATATCGTAAGTTTCCATACTGGGAAGAAAAGCGAGAACAGAAACATACAATCTGGTGAACGATCGCTCCTTCAACAGGTTCAGCTGCAAATGACTCATGAGACCCAGACCCTCCATCACCTCTAAAGCACTCACCTTCAGAACAGTCTTTAGACATGGGCTCGTCCATGCGAGAGCCGCCTTCACACTTATTGCCTGGGATCTTGCGATATCCCGATGAACCCATGTACTTTTCGTCGGAAGTCCCAAGGGTACATTGGGTGCTGGGTATGCGCTCCGGACCTGAGGGCACACATTTACCATCACTCCGCACGTAATTGTAATCACTAGAACGCATGAGCGGTTATGATGGGCAGAGTAACCAGGAACAACGTACCACTCATAATCATGTTCCTCGCATGGGCACTTATCATCATGAACTTCCGGATCATGGAACTTCTCACCCATGTAGCAATCTGCGTTAGCCTTGCGTCTGGTGTACCATTGCTGAAGTATATGAGTAAGACCATTCTCGTGACAAGTTTACATCTCAGTAACAGACCTTGGCACCCATGATGCACTCTGATTTGGTACTGGCTCTTGCATACCATGACTCCTTATCGTTTGGACCACACTGTGGGCGCCCAAGGGTGGCGAAGTCGAGGTAGATGGCGACGTTGCGGCCCTGATCGGATTGTTGGGACTGCCGCATGACCTGGCCGAGGAGGAGGAACTTCTGAGATGTCGAATCTGATACCGTCGTCAGGCCTTTAGCACGGAATTGGATCCCCACATTGTACGTATTCCTATAGGGCGGGGCGTTTCAGTAAAATCGCATGTATGCACATGCAGCGAGCGGCAGGGCGGGAAGACGTACCAGGTCTGACCCATGTTCGTGGAGTACATGATGGAGTCAGTAGGTTTCTCGTCGTCGACGATGACGATGACAGTTCCGGAATCGCCGAATTCGTATTGAAATGCGCCTTCGTGGACCATGGTCCATGTCAGGCCAGCGTCGGTGCTCATGTAGGTGTTGCTGTCATCATACGGCGCAAGCGCCTTTCCAACGGAACCCACGCCCATAACGAAGCCTGGGGCGGGGGACGAGAAAACGGAGCCGTAGTTATGCATGTCTGTTACTGAGTGCAAATGCAACGAACATGGCTGGGAGGAGCAGGTGCCACTAGGGGCGGTAAGAGGATTCCAAGAGCTACCTGCGACGACGTAAGGCCAGTCCAAAATAAAACAAGAAACATCGTTCTCACCGTCATCGAACGTGATAACCGACTGTAATTGCTTGGTTGCCATCTTCCTCTCAACGTCTTGTGCATTAGAGATAACGTTGGCAATACCAACACCCTCGACGCCATATATAGTCTCATAGTCAACATACCCCATCATGTTCCTGTTCGTGTTCATCAAGCTCTCCACAAAATAGGTGCCGTTGGAGTTGCTGACAAACAGGGTACCGACAGAGGTCATGTCGTGCAAGACGACATCTACTGCTAGAGAGTGGACTGTAGACTCGACGATGGTATATGCGTTCTCCCGCAAGCGCGCCTGGGAGGCATGTGGGAAATGTGCCTTCGCCCATTCCTTAGTGTTCACAGTAACATATAACAGCATGTCACCCTCGCTGCCGGGCGCCAAATCCTTGAGCGCAACCACAGCAAACTTGGACACAATCGCAAATGCCACGACACCCTTGGCATTCTTGCCAATACCAAGGTCTTCGTTCTGCTTGGTGGTAAAGAAATCTGTGCTGGAGTACAGACGACTGCTTGCAATAGTGTGGGAGCCAGACATGGCGGAGGAGTCATAGGCGACGCAGTAGATCAGGTCTTCATGAGCATCATGTTTGAAGTCCTTGCTACTGTGGGCGAATTGGCAGCGCGAGACGTCGTCTAGGAGTAGTTTTGGTGATGAGACAAATCCATCTGTAGTGTAGTATGTCTACATAGAAATTTGGACGCAAGTAAGATATATATGTAAATAAGTACGCACCACGTCTCGACATTCTCCCCAGGGAATTTGGTCGCATTTCGTAGCCTGGAAGAGGGCATACTCCCACTTTTTAGGATCTGAGTGGAATGATAGTGGTTTTGGAACATAGGCTACTAGCTCAGGGACGGTAAACGTGCGCCATGACTTTCCGCGGTCGTCTGTGCGGTAATGCGTGTAGGAATTTGTTAACACGTATGCCTAGATAGAATTCGAAAGCCACGTCAGTGTGTTCAAGGTAGATGGGATATACTGGGAATAAGAGTATGAACAGTAACGCACCACGCGATTGTCAAACGGGTGCTCAATAAACATTGCAGCCTCGCCAGGTGGTATGTTATCCGCGCGTTGCCAGCTCTTGCCTTCGTCCTGAGAAACATGTATGTCCCCGAAGATAGCATCATGGTATATCACACTCTAGAGGATAAAGTGAATTATTATTAAGTGGACCCTGAGGCAGATATGAATGACTCACAGTAGTATCGTCGAAAAAGAACAACCGAGTTGGTGCATTGCTGAAGTAGTTTATGGCATGTTCTGGATCAGCGGCAGACGTGTAACCAAAATAAAGAAGAAAAGCTAGTGTTGACCATATAAAAGCGGCTGTCCTGTGCCAGGGAGCCATGCAGGACGTTGTGGATGAAGAAGTGTGTAGTGCACGTTGTATGTTGTTGCACAGTTCCAGCTAAGTTCCCTTGCTCCCGCAGCCAGCGTCAAAGTGACGCGAGGGTTTCATTCACAGCCACACAATTTCTACCATTTCGGGCAGGTTAAGTCTAGACCTCATCTTAGACTCGGAAGAGGACAATTCATTCCTCCTAATAAGACTGCAGAATTCATGCCTACAGGATATGATGTTCTCTTATTGTGTACACGACCTAGATGAGTTCAAAGAGGTATCAAAATGGAGCTTAACCACGATCTCTTTCCAAGTCTTCAGGTCCGAAACTAAATGGAAGTAATCCCTCAAGAGTACATTCTCGTACTCCATCTTCCTTGTCTGAGTAAGAAGATGCAGCCAAAAGGATGGGCATGTCGAGGGGACAGAATTCGCGAATTACTTGGCGACACATCCCACAAGGCGCAATTGGCGAGGCTACGTCGCTAGTATTAGGTAAGTAGTGTAAGGTTTGGAGCAAGGATGATGATAACATACGTTGTAACAGCGAGCGCTGCAAACTTACGCTTACCTTCACTCTGATATCATGATGTTTAGTTGCAGATCGACCCCCATGAACGCTACCAGATAAGGTGAACGCACCACTGCCTTCACGAATGCAGTACGCTCTGCACAAATAGTACCACCTGCATATGGTAGCAGGACTGTTGAGTAGCAAGAGCCAAGTAAAATCTTGAAAGACCGTATTCACCGTACGAGGCGTTCTCGATATTAGCACCTTTGATGATTTCGCCATCCTCGGTGAGAAGAGCAGCTCCTACACGAAATTTGGAGTAAGGCACGTATGCGAATGCCTTTGCTATCAAATACTCATGCTCAGTGCGCTCTCTCAGGTTCTATTTGAGTCGGGGCGATAGACTCGTACCTTCAACTGCGGCTTGGAGGAGGCGATCACGGTTTGAAGTTACGATATCTGTCATGAATAATTCGTTGGGTGGGATGATTAGAATCAGAGAATGGACGATCCAATAACTAGATCGTAGCACGCAGGATCCAGATCAAGATATCATAAAGTACCAGACAGGAGAATTCAATTCAAGTCACTTGTCACGGAGTCACAAATCCTAGTCACCAACCACCAAGGGCCTGTGGAAGACGTCCGAGGTTTTCCAGAAACTGATTCATACGAACCATACCAACGGGTACTCGGACTGGACCATGGTTCTTGAAGTACTCAGAGGCGGCCATGTCGATGCGCTGGTTGTGGGGTTCTTTTTCTAACTTATCCTGGCGTTTATCCATGCACATCAATCACTCGTTTTCCTACGTGGAAGCTGGAGACTTGACATTCTACAAGAACATGCCTCCCGCGGAGATCGTATGATAAGGTTAAGTTAAGGTGAATGTGCTGCGCATACTAAAGCACGGTGCCCGCGGATTCCGGAAGCTGGTCTCGAATTTACAGTCACTCCCTGAATCGATATATGACGCGACGAGAACCACACTTCAGAATATGATTATTGGTCATGCTATCTTCGCAAAATACGAGAGGAAGCGGATTCGAACAAATTCGAATGACAGGATATTTCAACCATCTCGGACGTCCTGGTTCTCGATCCCCAAGCCTTGGTATTGTCACATAAAGCATTGCATTTTATTTATGATCACTATGTTCCAGACCTTGAAACGCTATAGGTGATTTACCGTCCACAAAGACCAGCATCCGCGTCATCATGCATCACCATCGGGTGTTCTTTCTCGCGTATCCTACACGAGCAGTCCACACTGAGGGAGAGTAAACCGGTGCTACATGCATAGACTAGGGTTACGAAGTAGGCAGCGTACAGAGGAATTGGGTTACTTGCCCAGTATTTGCGCACGATATCAGCTTTCTTTGATCCGAATGTTGACGTCGGCGAGTCCCAAAGCGAGCCAGTTGTCGCTTCCGACTCGACCGACTCTCATCCGTACATTTGTGAAGTTACGTGCAAGTCGCTTCACGACGCCCGCTGGCAGTACATAACTATCGACGCTGCCGACATGAGCACGGCATAACACTACTTATATTGACCCTACAAGGCGCCAATTGAGGGATTTATGCCACTCGCAAAGCCCATGCTGTACTGAAGAGCAACGAGACAGTCATATTAATCGTAAGTGACGCAGTACATGAGCCATGATAACGGAAAGCTACGCTAATCTAAGTTGAGAAGGACATCACATCTCCGCCCACAATACTGGGCCCATGACCGACCCAATAGTCCATATCTATACCATAAAATTAGTCAACATGTTCCAACATGCGCATTAAATGACCTTACGACGTTAAGTGCTTTTACGAAAAGTATCGGGTATTCGTAAATTGGCGGAGCAGATTTATTTCCCGGTCTAGGGTGGGTAAATAATACCCAAATGGAGTAAAGCGCGATTGTAAGAGAACTCCGTGCCAGCAATAACGGAGACGCAGTTATTCTGGAAATTCCACAACCAGGTTAGCGCTATCGTAACACAATCGAGAGATTACTGACCCAGCTGCTAATGACATGGGGGCCTCAGAATACTCTGGACCTTTCCCGAAAAATTTGAATGCTCCATCCTGCATAATGTCAAACGCCTCGCCTACGCACATGGAACAACCATAAGCCTTCGAAGATTTGACAGTTAATTTCGGCTCACCTTCGGCTGCAAATAGGCCAGCCCAGCTCATGCTCATGGTATTGATGGTTGATGCGAGCGGTTTTCTTAGTTGGTGCCACTTCCGAAGGACGGCCGAGATTTCATCCCAGTTGCTAAAGCTCTCAACGTCGGCCAGAAGATCAGAGAGGATGACCGCGTCGTTCAATGCGACCGTCATTCCACCCGCAGTTAGCGGGTGGCGCATATTTAGTGAATCTCCCAGTAGAAACACGCCTGGCTTGCTACGTTCTCCCTGCGGTATGGCCGGAAGATAATAATGCGGGGAACGCCGGAGACGCCCTGTTTCCAGAGATTTGAGAATGGGCTCACGTATCGATGGCGAAAGCTGAGGAATAACGTCGTGCAATATATGCTCCTGCAATATCCATAGTCAGTGGGGGCGATCATGACCGAGATGATATCACAAACCTTGAGATCTGGCGGTGGCTCCTTGAATTCAACCAACATTCTATGCTCATTGTTGGGGAGCTCATAAAGGACGACCGGTCCAGCGCCTTTCAGTACTATCATAGTGGCATACTTTGGCACCGGCAGCTTTAGGTCTTTCACCATCAATCCTGCCAAGTATCCCTTTTGCTCAGGCTCGTATGGCATGTGTCCGAGAACGGTAGTTCTCCACTTGCATAAGGAACCGTCCGCGAGAATGACGAGGTCAGCAAAATACGACTCCGGCTGACCACCCGCTTGGGAGGCGCGGACACCTATTACGCGATGTGTCTCCTCGTTCTCGATGAGATCAGTGACTGTGGTCTCAATCATTTGGACATTGGGGGCCCGGCGTGCGCAGTCGCGCAAGGACATGACAAACGACCCGTGTTCAAAAGCTCTTGCCTCATAGCCTCGAGGGAATGGTGCGCAAATGCCATGCTCCCCTCGCAGAACGTAAAAACCTGCCGAGGGAGCAGAGTCAAAAGTCTCAAGACATGACTCCATACCAAGCTGCTTGAGAGCGGTAACACCGCCAGGCTGGAGCAATTCAGCGACCATGCGGTCTGGCTTTGCGAAAGACCGCTCGAGTACTGCTATCCGAAGGGGAGCAGTACGCTTGCCAAAGGTCTTCGTGGCAAGGGCATGGGCGAGGGCCGGCCCTGCTATACCGGCACCAACAATAAGTACGTCGTAAGAACTGGAAGAAGAGAGCATGGCGGGTTGAAGAACCGTGATAGACTCACTTGGTACTATTTATCGGAAAAACAGTCTTGTAATGATTGTTTCTCTTCGGGAGATATATCTGCACATGGTATCATTCAAACATATTCGGCCCATCAGATAATGTGCAAATGTGCAAATCTTACCTGAAAATCGTTCGACACAGTCTGGAAACCGAATATCATCTGAATCGGTTGCGGTTGCTTGTGACGTACTGTTACCGTTTGTAACACGTTTTTAAGCCAGAAATACGAGATCCGATCACGAATAGACCGTAACCGATAATGGTCACTCCGAGTTGAATTAAGTATTATAGGGCCGAGTCTCTTATCAATGGCACATGTTCGGTTCTAGCTCGTTTTAGAGCATGGCAGTTCCGAATCTTGTGCACACCATACTTTTTCTAGTATTTCACGGCGACAAACTGGCCCACCGGGTGTGCTAAAATCATGGCATGATCGAGCTAGAATTATTCAGGAATTGTTAACAGGGCTGCCTATAAGAGCGAGTTGTGAGTGATCTGAATCAGTAATTCGGATGAAATTGTATACGTGAACTTGGTTGCATGATCGCCGTCTTTACGACCAACTGTAACGTCAACGCTTCAATCTCAACGTGCAACAACTCCGGGCCGACACCTGGGACCGGGATGGGCTCGTTGTTTTACACAACTGATTACCAGGCCTGGCAGTAGCGCGCAGGCATGCCATATCGTTGGGCCGACTCGGAGATCGTTTCGGAGGCGCCCTTTTATCTCTGCTGAAATGAGGGCTGTGGCGCTGCGGCGGTGTCGGTCTTGCACGATCATACCGGTAGGGTCCTTCGCGGGTAACACCGGGAGTACACCATACTACTCGCGCCCGCCAACATTGTACCTCCACCATCACTTCTGCCCCAAGCGTTGAGGCAGAGAAAGGCATGAATCGTTGATGGTGCTCCTCAAGCTGCCAGCCCTGCGAGAACGGGCGTTCAGCAGCAGTTGATGCTGCCGAGCGAGATAATTGAAGAAGATTCAGGGGTAACATACCTGGGATGGATAGTCGGATTGCCTGTGCGGCATCCGATGAAACGTTGGATAGATAAGTACAGCAATTGCGCATCATTGGTCGTTGACAAGCGCAACCACTGCGATTTCTCCACCTGCTCTCTCTTTCTTTCGATACTGTTTCAGTTCGTGCCTTGCTTGGATTGAATCATCATGATGCGGAACTATTAGAAGATTGCTGGCATTCAAGCTGTTTGATATGTACGTACCAGCTGCCTCGGAGTTGGGATCCACTGTCTGTTGGTGCCGTATAGCCTTTTCATGCAGATGCCCTAGTAGTAATAGATAAATGTGACCGGTGACCTACTAAGCATTACGACTTCCATATTAATATTGACATAAGGTTGGACTTTAAGCTTTATATACAAAGTTTTTTTTTATAATTCTTCAAAGTACTAGCTCGACGTTTTTGCCCCGGCCTGCTCGTCGACCTACTGCCGATCTTCGGAACGGTAACCTGAGGATCCCGATAAACCTTCCCAGAAGAACTTTCGCTTGGGCTAGGATAATTTTGTCGCGCGGAGCACTTTCTAAATGTACTGTGATGAGTGCCTTATTAATATATTTTCGAAGTACTTCGACTCCTGACTGTTGACAAGAGGACTGTGTCAGGTTGTGGGGTGATATGCGAGATAGGTACGAATCGCCGTGTTAATAGAACCGAGTCGGGTGGTTCAACATCACCGCATCTCATTATTTGTCCAAACACTGGGCGCCACCCGGGCCCACCTACCCCACCAAACTCCACTCGTCCATCAGCATCTACTAGTACACGCCTTCTACATATCATCTGTGCCTTGATTGTTCTGATCTCCAGAACAGCGACGTTTCCGGATTCAATACAATCGGCGCAATCTATCTTCCAAGGCTCAATGCCGACCCTATCCCGCTGCATCAAGAATGACATAGCGGGGAAACTGACATATTGCGACCTTTTGACGCCAGTGAAATCACATTCATTCAAAAGGTCTTCCAGGGTGCTTTGGAACATTCTACCTAGGCTAGCTAGGTCCGGAATGCTGTTTTTGATTAAAATATTGTGGATTTGCTTGCAATGGTTGGTTAAGGTTCTGATACTTATCGTGCACCCCTGCAGTGTGTAACCAGGTCTGGCGGTTGACGACTAGTCACTGAATTTCACGCACTAGATTCTAAGCGAGCTCAAGACTAACCCAGATGCATCGCCATTCCCTCTTCTGGCGATGTACAACTCGTCCGGACTCCAGCAGACAGACAATACTGTGAGACTGTGAGCTTACTTCCACCCACTTGCAATACTCAGTTGTCTGCAGGGGGAAAGTGCGCAAGCCGGGCGGACACCCTTGCTATCATGATAGTCAATTTTCGTGTGCGTTGCTACTCTCTCAAGCGGGGTTGAAGACCACGCTGGCGCCTTCAAGTTCCGTATACCATAATGACTAACTCATGCCAAGTCCCACCCCAGCCAGACGATCGACCTCAGATCTAATCTCTGTATAGCCTTCCTCGCCTAGCTGCAAATGACTCAGTATCAAGCGCTGAAAATAAGACACAGATAGAATTCAAAGCAATCGACGAAGAAGGATCTCAGAGCGTCTATTGATAATCTCAAGTTCTCATGATCATATTCTTTGGATTGACAGATATGTAGATTCATTCTTCGGGGAGGCGAGTGATGATGATGATGGAATCCCTCGTATACTCTACAACCTTACCTTGTTTATACAGGCACAGGTATAGACGCTGTTGGGCTCGACACTGTTGAAACTCGAGGCCTACGTCCAATCGGTCTGAGCGATTAGTGGGGAATCTCGAGGTTATGTAGTATATAAAGTCCGAGCGGAACTTACTGACGGATCCGTGAAGTGCAGTCGACCGGTAGCATGGCGACAAATCAGATTATGTCAGTAGATATCACAGGTGTGAGTGGTCCTCAAAAGGCAACGTTTGGTGTTGAAACTTGAGCCCAGGCCTACATAGGTCTACCTCCCAAAATTCTCCGGCCGGCCCACCTTGCCGTTTAAGTACTCACACCTCTCGGTTAACGTCACATGTGTTTCTTGTTCTTTTTCTATGTGCGCTTTATGCTAAGCAGGGTGTTTGTGCCAATCAAATCAGGAACGCAGAACCACTTAATTCATCTCAGCATGCTTTATCTGTTCGGCCTTGCTGGAGAAGTCAGTACGCATGCCTTCTCCGATTCTGCAAGCACATGCAACGACGGCCCGTTCGTTCTTTTCATCTCTTCACTCTCACTCTATCAGCGGATATAGCTGGCCCGTGAGTGGTCCTCAAAAGGCAACTAGTGTGAGTTTATGCTCGATATTCTGTAGGGGAAGCATTAATACTACCTACCTTCTCAGAGTTCAAGTTTATTCGAGGCAAGAAGCCATCTGCCGGCGGCCCCCCCATCGCATCATACCGGCGACGGCAGAGGGTAGAGAGGTTAAGTCATATCGCATAGATAAGTTATGCTGCAATAGATTCTTTTGGCCTCGGACCTAAACTGACCTAGCGGACTAGCACTGGGACTCCATCGGAATTCTTGGATTAATCTCTGGTTTTGCACCTGAATATTCGAGGCAAATTCATGTGCTGACTCCTAGGATTTGCTACCAAGTACTTTCCCCCGTAATCCATCCCATCTAGATGGGGGCGGTGCACCACAGAGCGGAGACTCGGTGGAGAGACTTGGACATAATACTTTTCCAAGGTGATAAATTCAATTCTAATCTGGTGGTCGAGAAGATCATTTGCAGGGATGGCTAGTGGTAGAATAGGAGAGGGAGTTGTGTCGGAAATGTGTTTGCTTAGGCTGGAGTCAATTTCAATTATCTCGCGACCATATCGGACTTAAGTGCGTCTAAATACGAAGTACGTAAGCCGTATTACACACGTCGGTTAGCCCCATTTGGCTAAAAATATCTTTCACAGTGTTAACGTTCTATCATATAGGCTATTATTTTTGCTTGGTACGCCATGGGTTGCTTTGAGTTCACATGTTATCATGGTGCCGAGTTAACGAACATGGTTGAGTTTGCAATCTATGAGGACATCACAACAGACTTCGAAAACTGCAATAAACGACATTCAGGATCCCTATCTCTTTCGGAGTCTTTCCGCGACGCGGTGATACCGCACCGCCCGTTCCACAGTGACATCACCCAATTCTTGTATGCACTCCACCAGCACGAAGAGACCGCGACCATGTCCTTTAGAATGAACGAGCAAGCTTCCAGGAACCTGTTGAACGACCGAAAATGCATGAAACATCCTGGCCGCTTCATCACGTGCACCCGGGTCCCGCAGAAGATAAACCTTGACTCGAAAAAAAAATCGTACGTTTGCAACCAGCAGGTTCGGTACGAGTTCAACGTTCAACATTCAACCTCCGACATTTATTAATATTGCTCTAGACTTTCTCCTCATGTTTAGCGCGTGCCGTAGTCTGACCCTTGTAGATTCGGACAGGCCAAATTAATCCTTCCAGCACACTGCATTCGCCGAGGTCATCATGATGACATGGAATCGGCACCACTAACGGGCCGACGATTGAATACTACTGCCATTAACAGCCATGGAATGTTATGCAACTGATTTATCAAGCCCGTCAAGATGGTTCCAGCAAGCGCACGCACGCATATGCACCACATCACGGTGACCATGCTAACAGTTGAATCGAATGACACTGACCGTCATTCCAAGCATTCTTTTGCCTTGTAAACTTGACATCATGCCCTTCAAGGCAAGAGCATTGTTCGAGCCCATCAAGCTTCACTGGTGTACAACTTCATGTTGCCCTTCATGGTACTAGGATGGACAATAAGCCACCTGCTCGATCGTTGACTCTGACTCATGTGATGTAGCAGTTCTCGTTGCTGCCATCTTTGTCATGTTCTCGGCTTGCTGGTCTAACAGCGTGAATGATTTTTTAGCCTCACGCCAGCGTCGTTTGACTCCATGCTTGTGGCGGGGCCTATCTGCTGGCGAAGCTATGGATGTACTGGCCTTCTCCGTTCCTCTAATGGTACGGCCAGAGTTTTTCATGTAATATCAATCTATTTGGTTCCAGGGTTTCGTTCCTCAGCCTTCAGGCCAACTCACGAGCATCCAAGCGGCTCGGTGATGAGTAAAAATGTTCGGAATAAAGGCCAAAAACGACAAGGAGCTCTTGTATCCATCACAAACCGGATAGATTTGATGTCTTCACTCTGCTGGCAAGACCGATGAGCGTGTCATTTGTTTCGTGTGGACTCTGAATCCGGCTACCATAGGGAACCCAGGGCACTTAAAAGCAAGCAGCATGCCCTCCTGAGGTATATCCCATCGCCTCACACAAATAATGCGTCTCCCCTTCGTTTTGCACATCTTCAGCGCCGTTTGCATTGCCGTCTTGTCTTTGCCTGCCAGTGCAGATGACAGTGGATGCCCCCATAATTGCGACCCATTTTATGATCTATGCTGCGATGGATTTGGATGTGGGCCGGGACCCCTTAACGTGAGCATGAGTAGGTTTCTGCGCAGAATTGACCCACTGACCTGCTTTGTAGGAACCGCCTTCATGGGTGTGTATAGGTAGGAAGAATTTGCCCTGCAGATGCATTTGACCATGCTGACTGTCCTGGTATCTACAGAGGGTTGGCCTTGGGTTGGCGAAGCTTGAGCAGCACGTAGTACCAGTGCTGTATAATGGTACTGTTCTGTGCTTCAAAGAGGATAATTTTGAGTCACAAACATAAATGAGCAACATTTTTTGTTAGGCGTTTTCATTCAAAGGACAAGAAATGAGATATCAATGAATTTTTATGGGGGTTTATAACGATGGTCTAACTCATCGTCCCATATTTTATCAACCCAACTTACACGACAACCTCTCCGCTCACGCAACCCATGAGCAGCGCATCCACACTGCCACCTGTCTTCTCATCCAGCCACGCATCGAACTCCTTAAACAACCGCATCACTTGATGCCCATCCGCCTCAGCCTTTTTTGCGGGCCACATACGCTTCTCCTGAATCCCAATGAAGTCTACCCTCAACCCATCCACATCAGACGATCTGGGATGCGCGTTCGGGGGCGGCGGCCACTTGATCGTCATATCCACCGTCCAGACGTCAGTCCCGTAGAATGAAGCTTCTTTGATGTGGTGTCGTGCAAATTCCTCCGGTGGACTGTTATCTAGCGTCCACTCTAGTACATGCGCATCGAATGCAATCACTGCACCAAGAGCTTAGTCTACGCGACATCCACCATATATATAAACTCACCAGTCCACATTATCCCCGGGTGATCAATCTTCAATGTCATAGTCCTCGTCCCCTTACTCTCATTGACGGTATCATTGACGGCTGAAACCGTAAACTGTTCTTCTGGTGGCCAAGGTGCGTCATACGCCGGGTCTAGTGGGAGGTCAATCTTGTATGGTGAAAGGAACTGCACAACGTTCAAATACACCACCCAGACGCCATATTCGTTTGCAAATTAATAGTCAGCATCACCATAAATGTGCTGAATGTATCAAGTCTCACCGCTGAAAATGGATATAATGTATCCCAATCACCGTTCCAGTCGTCCATGATAACAGCCTTTGGGGGCACCCCGGCTACGCCGAAGTGTCTCGTGATGTCATGGACCAAGTCGTCAAAGCCAGGCGCGCCATCTGCTGCTGCAATATGGAGATGCTGCTCCCGTGTGTTTAACTGAATCGTTCACGTTCAGTTTCCTTTACAAAACTGCACAGGATCTGGCACTTACGTCTTCCTTATGAAGCACAAACAATCTCTTTTGATGATTTCTATCAAATACATCCTTTCTGGCAAACACTGCCATCAATACTCCCACTACAAGGAGCAACATTGTGACTGCTTTACGCAGAGCAGGCAGATCAAATCGGTGAACGAATGGTGTAGTGAAATTAAGCGTGTAAGAACCCAAAGTCGCCACAATGGAAGCGATGATGTACTCTGCTGGTGCTTCAGAGCCAATACGCCCAGTCTGTGAAAGGTATGAGGAGAGGACTATGAAAAGATAAATCACTCACTAGCGGTACGAACACAACCAAAGTCGCAGACGTCAATTGAGTCCCCGTCAACAGTGGGATGGTCTGGCCCAGAGCATATGTCCACAAGCTCACCAAGCCGTCTTTGGCCTCCGGCTTAGCCACCTTATTACGCCCATCCTTCGCTCCATTAGCATTACCATCTCGCATCTTTTCTGCTGCATGCATCATTTTTATCCCATCATCATTTGCGGAGGAGGCGCTCAAGTACGAAGTCACCCGATCAACAAGTAAGGCTCCAAACGTTGAGAGTGCACTAAGGAAGAACACCGCACTTGATCCAACACCAGCGAACTGGCCCGCTGCAGCCAGGAACGCATAGGCAAGGAGTTGTGCATGTAGGAGAGCTTTTTCAGGTACTGGGGCGAAAGGGAGCTGAGTTATGAGCGCTCCTGCATGGAGAAATTTGTGAGTCATGATGCTAGGAAGGAATTGAAACAAGATAGACATAATTCTAAGCGCAAAGCACGAAATCAAATACGAGTCAAATGGGCTTGTGGGAAAAATCATAGCATATGCTGAAGTAAAATCACTCACCGCACATCGCTGCGGGGCCATACAATATCAACGGCTCAAACTCGCCCCCGAACCAGCTCATTCCCCGGCCCAACACCCGCTGCATCATGAAGGCAACGGCATTCGCTCCCACAAGTGCTCCTAGCCCTCCGGAGAGCACGGAAAATAATGCCTTCACCATCGTTGCACCTCTTGCACTGGGCCCGCCCGCGGTTCTGACAAGCACACAACTAGCAATGAAAAGCAGCGAGTAAAGCACCTCAGCTGTACGGAACGAGTAGACAAAAAATACACCAAGGTACGTAAAGAAGACGGTGCGAGGGCGGCCGTAGCCTGAGGCGAGCCCTGGTAGCGGTGAGGCGGGCGAAGTGAGGTGTTTAACGAGCGCGAACGTATTATCGGCCATGTGCTGGAGTGATGAGGACGAGAATCAATCTCAAGATTAGATCTAGGAAGTTCAGATAACAGACCTGTGCAACGCCTGCCTCGATGTTTTCTACCAGATCCTGTACCACATTAGTATATCCCGATATTTTAGTTAGTCAAGTTACGCACCCCGCGCATGTGATACATGTAACTGTTACCAACAACTGCCATCTATGTGCTGTTAGCATTAAAACTTTACCGACGAAAGAGAAGCAGGAGATAAACGTAGAAAGAAAGGTCGGACGTACGTCAAGCCCAGTGACGTTCAAGTAGTACTCAAACTGCCGGAAATCAGTGCTTACAGCCGACAGCATGTATTAGTACGAGAAAATTCAGGGAAGACAAAGAGACGCACTCAGAGAGAAGCACACCCGAGCTGAAGATCTCGTTTGCAAAGATAGTTCCGTATGGTCTGTGTACATTTGTATTATAAGACCGAAAAAAAAGAAAGCAATGAAACTGACCGAGGCACGTGAGAATACGCCTGAATCATCTCGTGAGACGTCGCCTGGAAGAGAAGTTCGGGGCCTGTGGTGCCAGCAGCTACGAACCCATATCAGCTGCATAAAACTACGTCCTATATGCGAACAGCTGACCTTCCAGATTGATGACAGCACGGACACTGGGAGAACAATGTAAGGTGAAATGCAAGAGGAGTAATAATTATGGAACACACGTGGACGCAATAGGATGCTGGGTCGAGAAAAGGTGGGAACCATCCTGTAGAGATTCCTCCGCATTATTGAACACTGCGGCTGCATTAGCACAGATTCTACTGGTATGGCATCTGAATTAGACAAAACTCACAAAATATGACTGCATGCTTTGGCTCCCACCCAGGGGTATTCACTAGCACCCGCACGCACTCAATCATCACGCCAACTGGTAGCGCGTCATCTGCAGCGCCTGGACTAGGAAGGGTGCTATCGAGATGTGAGTTGACGAGCACTGCGTCAACTTTTCCCTGGTCCGTGCCATCGCTGAGGCGTATTATGATATTACTCAAGTTGACATAACGCTTATACAGCCGCGCAGCCATCATATCGAAGCTATCGAGCACACCGGGAAGTTATATAAGACACAGAAGGTTATTGAAAGCGATGAACTAGATGACGTACCGATGACTACCACTGCCCTCTTGCCTCCATACCTCGCACTGGAGTTTACGGCCGGGTTGAGTGGCCACGACACGCTCACACTCTTCTTTGAGCTGGTAAGCCTTTTCTGTCATCCAGGCATCTGCGAGTGCGTGTTCGCGGGTGCCAGGCGTGCGGTATCCGATATCCTCTGACAGATACTTGGCATATTGCAGGATTGTTGCTTCGGAGAGCTGAGGCAGAGAGGTCACAGGATCATATCTGGTGGTTGAATTCAGGTTGGGTTCAACGTACAAGTAAAGCACCTTTTAGTTAGTATTGACTCGAGTTGGAGACATGAAGGAATAACGCACTGGTCTACAACGGGCGTAGGTAATGCTGCGGGTGAAAAATAAGTTGACAGGGTTCAATGCGGGATTAATGACAAAAACGCGTACAATACTGGTGCTTCAATGCAAGCCATGGCAATCCAATGAGGAGCGGTAGTAGCGCGAGCAGAGACTTTGCTGGCCCCCATTGTCGCGTCCTAACCATGGTATTCAGGGCGAGAAACTTAGTTTAACGTCACTGTTTAGGCAGTTAGCTGGAGAGTAAAAGAAAAAGAAATTGTATGTATGTATCACTGCAACATGCGTCGTGAACTTGGAAACAGTTTCAACAAAAAACAACCAGTGCAAACTTCAAACGTATTATAATAGATAAATTACGTGAACTATTTTGATTGGCTAAGACAACTAGGCCTGCACACTTGTAAAATTTTGTCATGAGATCAAAGTCATCAAATGTATGTCCGTCCAACCTGTATATGTGGCCATAATCAGAGTTATACTATGTAGAGCGGAACTTACCGAAACGGACAACGAGACCTGTCTGGACTCTGCCATTTTGTCGTTCAACTATTGCCATCACACACAGCTAACGGCTTCCAGCCATATATCCACTCTGAAGGCCTCCTAGTCACAATGATCAAGTGTCTGATATGTGGTGCCGGAAGAGCGGTTTCCAAACCGTCAAGGTTTCAGCGTCAACTTCTGCAGTCTAGTTCATAATGCCAATTTGCTGTTAGTGGCTTTAAGTTTAATCGTTGAATGATGCTCATCTGTCGTCATGTTCTTCGCTCCTTTCCGTTTTGATCTAGACCAACTAATCTCTACTAACTTGTACAAAAGCCAGAGCATATCCAACTTCACAATGTGCACTCCTTGTCTTCTAGCGCATCGTATCCTGAGTGATCTGTGGCTCCACCAACCCGAAGGCCCCGCCCGTCCGCCGACTTCCGTACGACAATCTTATCGCGGATAATCAAGTCTGTACATTATCTGTCCATTCCGTTGCCTTTGAGCTGATATCCGCGTCTGATGTCAGGGTTCAGCATCATATTTTATCTCATGTTTCCCCGCACCGTTCTCGCTGGCTGCCTTCTTGCACTGTCACATGCAGTATCGGTAGCATCTTCAAGATCTAACTATGATAACTCACCGTCTAGCGCCTCCCCGTTCACCCTCAAGCCTGTTGCTGAACTCGTCATCGTCAATAAAGTGATCGCGCCTGACGGCTTTGCACGGTCGTGAGTTAATGCTTACATGCTCCCTTGCGCATTTTCATCTTTATCCTGTACAGGGCAACACTTGCAGGAGGGATTTTTCCTGCTCCTCTCATCAAGGCGCAGAAGGTTTGCTCAATTATTTAATCGATGTCTAACGCTGATTTTTCGAAGAATGACAACTTTAGCATCAATGTCGTGAACAGGCTACATGACAAAGATATGCCTACATCGACGAGCGTAGTACGTGCTTTACTCTTTTTCTCACCTCAAATTCCCTGATACCCTTCAAAGCATTGGCATGGCATCCAACAGAAGAAGACGAACTGGGCAGATGGCGCATCGTTCATCACTCAGTGTCCAATCCCCCAAAATCGCTCCTTCCTCCACCAGTTTAGTGCACCCAACCAGACTGGAACTTTTTGGTTCGTGCTCTCATTTTCTATGGAGAAGGAATGCTAGACTATGTCTTACGATAGGTATCACTCGCATTTTTCCACTCAGTATTGTAAGTGTCCGCAACTATCTATGCGACCAATGCTACACAGCTTTACGTCCAGGTGACGGTCTTAGAGGACCACTTATCATATATGACCCTGACGATCCCCATCAAGACTTGTATGACGTCGATGACGGTGTGTATCTTTGCTTCCATGTGTAGACCGAGCATTGATCAGCTTTGGCATAGAGAGCACAATAATCACGCTTTCCGACTGGTACGAGTTATCTTGTCAACCTTTTGCATTCCAAATCTTACAAGTTCCTTCAGGTACCACGATCCTACACCCAAGTTAAATAAAATTTTTGCCCCCATCGTCGCCAACTCCACCCTCATCAATGGTCTTGGGCGCTACCATGGCGGACCCAAATCACCTCTTTCTGTCATCAATGTCGAGCAGGGCAAACGTTATCGGTTCCGCATTCTCGGTCTTTCTTGTGACCCATCATATAACTTCACTATTGATGGCCATACCATGACAATTATTGAAGCAGACGGCATCGAAACTGTCCCTGAGACTGTGGATTATCTTCCAGTGCTCGCTGGCCAACGCTACTCTGTCGTCGTCCACGCAAACCAGCCTGTGGATAATTATTGGGTTCGCGCACCATCCAACGCTCCAAACCAAACGTTTGCGGGTGGCTTGAGTCAAGCCATCCTCCGGTACAACGGCGCGCCCGATGAAGATCCTACAAGCACTCCTGGACCCTACATCTTGCCATTCAACGAAGGGAAGCTTGCATCTTTGCACAGCATTCCTGTCCCCGGTTTCCCTGAGATTGGCAAAGCGGACGTCCACATCAACTTACTTGCTTCCACTGTGAAAGGTGTCTTCAGAGTCAACAATGTTTCGTACCACAACCCTCCAACGCCGGTTCTGTTGCAAATGCTCAGTGGAGCACAGCATCCCTCGGATTTGTTGCCGAGCGGAAGCGTATACGAGCTTCCCTCGAATAAAGTAGTGGAAATCGCCTTCCCCAACACAGGTTTAGCTTTCGGAGGCCCAGTAAGTGTCTCTCTTAGTGTTTCTCACTCTTGTTATTCATTCTCGTTATAGCATCCTATCCACCTTCATGGAGTACGTGATTCTGCCGTTTCTATGCGATTCCCTGTCTTAATGCTCTTCATAGCACACTTTTGCCGTTGTTAGAACTTCGGGAAACAGTACAACAAACTTTGTCAACCCAATCTGGAGAGACACAGTAACTATGGGATCAACAGGGGATAACGTTACGATACGTTTCGTCACGGACAATTCTGGACCGTGGTTTATCCATTGGTAAGCATTCTCGTTACATTCCATGAAATGCATCTCATGATGTGTTTACCAGCCACATCGACTTCCATTTGAACCAGTACGTATGCACAGGTAATGTTTGAGCCACAAACTAATTCCTACCTAGCGGCTTTGCGGTGGTCATGGCTGAAGCTCGGAATCAACTTGCGAACATCAACGCAAGCATTCCAGGTACGAGGGCCGCGCTATTGATTTCAAGCACGCTAACCGACCCTTCCAGCATCTTGGGCCTCGCTATGTCCATCAAATAAACCATCTAGTCAAGCACGCCTTGGTGCTTTTAATACGACAACATCACGCCTGGGCTACTTCAATGCAACCACACTCACGTGATCTACAAAATCATCGAACAATCAAACTTTTTCAATTCCTGCTCCATACCTTATTTTATTTTCCACCTCTAGTTTTCGAAAAGTATCGTTATATCCAGGCATCCGACCTTCATATCATAATGATTTATTGTCGCGCGTTTTACCTGTGTATTCATTCTCCCATTTAATAGCTCGTCTATGCATACCTTTTAGGCCCGGGAGTAATGTGGTTGTAATAGTAATTGTGCTGTCTTGCTCGTTTCTGCTCATCGTTGGACTGGGCATTCAGGCTACAATTGCCGGAGGCAGTACGTTCATGAAGAGATTTCTAGTACGACATAGTCACAGCACAAGTCTACGACCCACTTTGACCCCTGTGGTTGTTACCGAAGTCTTGTATCTGTCGCGTTTGACCTCGAATCACGATCTCCCCTTCAACCACTCATTCTCGCGGTCGTCTTACACCCTCACCATCTCTTATGAAGGTCGTGCGTACTACTGATATCGGATCATTCAAACTTGTTTACGCAAACGGACTCGGATAGGATCTTCGCCATCTATTATGTAGTCGACAACGTTAGAATCTACTATTGTGAAGTGACAATAGCCCGCCCTACTGTTTTGATCAAAGCCCCAGTGAACATCATACGCCAGATATGCCTGTCTAGACCGTTTTCTGACAAGTTGTCAGCCAGACAGCATATAGTCTAGTAGCCAGCGGCAAATGAACGAGGTAGGAACCTGAGGACTGAGCGCTGAGCGACGTGCACTACGATAATCAATTTTCCGTACGAAGTCTGAGAGCGGATATAACCATCGGATTGCGAAGATAAAGAGGCGCCAAAATCGGATATTTTACCGCAAAAACGGGGAAATCAATCTGCATAACACCGTGACTCCCTTACGGTAGCGGGAATAAGGAAAGGGTCATGCGAGAAATATTAATGAACAACGAAACTCTAGTATAGAACGCAATGTTAAGACATGCCACCGTAGACATCTGTAAGGTTAAGGATAACTGGTCCAAGGAGGCTCGTCAGAGATATTATGATATACTGATGAAAGCGTGTGGGTATTAGAAGGCTGTACTGTGCAGAAAATTAATGACCCATTTGGCGTTTCATATGACGTCGGCGATGCTGCTCCACGCTTCGTTTTGTTGGTGGCAAGGCGTCGTAGGTGAAACATAACTGCTTCCATGGGCCTACGGAAGCCATCAATGAGGTCAGGATATAAGATATCAATCCCGAGGCTTACCTATCATGTTAAGGGCTGATACAGCATCGTCAGTATCTTCTGCGAAGACCACAGTTATACCTGAACAAGTAATCAGGTCACACAGTGGCAAGACAACACCTACTGTTCCAGGTGAAACTCGATATGATTTAAATCAACCAGGTACAACAATAGTATCGAAATCGTACCAGTGAAAGAGCCACGGTCCTGGACTATTGGTCTTAAAGCGGATTGCCACATTGTCGCCTGATCCACCATTGCCTGTCGTATCCCGTCGTACAAGATTGTCGTAGTTGGTGCTGTCCCGAGATCTCGTAAGTTCTTAGGTGACAGAGTTGTTTGGTCATTTTGTCTTTTACGTGTTTTTCGGTAAATCTATGCTTCCGGATCAAAATAGCGAAGTCTCGGCGAGGCAGGAAGGACAGCATATACAGAGGTTCTATGATACTGTGGAGTGCTGAATGACAAAGGCCTAGGTCCGCTGGCCGCATCACGACAGTGGTAGATACTGCCGAATTGTGCAGGATTCACACCTAAGATTCCTCTAGACCCAGTAAGATTAGTTAACGTGTGACGATCAGACTATCCCGGAAAGAAAAGCACGCACGAGGCGAAACAACTAGCTGCTCAGTGCCCGAGCAAGGGACCGAATTGGATGGTCTATATATTGTGAACGACACGAGGGTGTCCGGACTTTTTGTTGCTCGGGGTTCAAGTCGTTCGAAGGAACCGAGAAATTTAGATCCGAATAATAACAGAGTAAGTACCAGAATCTCAACCGTTGTGCGCTGTCCGGTGATTTACCTGTTCCGACTCGGAGTTTTTGCGTTCAATAGCCCAGCGCACGTGAGGTACGTCGTCTCCCCATGCCTATGTCGCCGACCCATCTCGGTCAAGAAAATTCACGAGTTACGCAAATTGGTATTTCCTCTTGCCTTAATTCTTGTTCTCCCTATCAAGAAAAATTGATCAGTTGTGTCTTTTTTAAAAAAAAATATGTTGCTGACTCACCTTCTTGGAGAAAATCGAGTCTGTTAGCAAGCTGATAATGTGACTTCTGTTAGAGAATGGTTCCGACAGGGTCCAGTGGGCTGTTACTGGAGCTCTAATCAAAGGAAGAGGGTAAGCTAGTAAAGGCTCTTATTACTTCACGATAGTAGATTCTAGTGAACCAGATCAGGCTAATGACGTTGTCGACTCGACTACATGATAGTTGGCGAAGATCCTATCTGACAGTCCGACTCCGTGTGTGCAAAGTAACGGATTAACGCTGCCAGCTTGTGTCAGCCCATTAAACGTTTGTGCACATAGTATGCCATAGACTGTTAGAGAGTATCGCAGCTTTCTCGGGCTGCTAGCTAACACCAACCGTGTGGATCTTATACCAATAGCATAATGCCATCAATGTCGAGTGCCTTGTGGTTACTAGATGGTCGCCAGAGTTCGTGTTTTTTTTTGGCAACGACAATATCTCCTCAACGTCTGGGCCGAAACACCATGGGATAGCCTGATGTAGAAAATACAATGCCTGTTAGTTTTTTTCTCGAGATTTGAAGGGTACCTATGTGGACATACATAAGGATTTTGTGCAGAATCGCGTGTGGTAAAGTGAAAACACGGACACACGAACCGGCGTGACCATCTAGTAAGAGCGTGCCATACTTGAGTATGTCAGACAAGAACTAAAAGGCTGCCAGGGCCAGAACTTCAGAAGAGAACCGTGGCTGCAGAAATCAAGCTCAGGTACTAGTAGCAGTGCGTGACACATCACGTGATTAACTCTGCGCGTCGACATTGACCAGAGACTCGCTTGAAAGGAACCGTCATCACACCTCATCTGTGCCTTCAATGGAGCCTCAGCAAGGACACAGAATGATATTCTCTAAACCACGCCATAATCAACTCGACAAGAGTAACAGTCAAATGCCTCTGTTCATAACTCCACGACCTGGACACACTGAAAAAAAATCGGCAGTCCCGTCATTTAACAACAGCTCGCAACGAAAATCTGTCCCAATACAGAGCTCCAATCTTGTAGAGAACATTGCCTCCAAAAATGTGGCTGAATCTAGTCTCCATTTTCCCGGTTTCAAGTTCAACACGACAACTTCCCGCCTGGAGTCGCACAGTCCAAGTGCTCAGCACTCATCTTCGTTCTATGATTCAAACAGTGGTCTTTTAGCAAAGGTATGCCGCATATATTCTTAAGTTGCTCCTGAAACTATGCTATGCCATTGTAGCGTCACAACGTGGAAATAAAGAATGAGGACCACGGTGATTATATGCGCCTGAAATGTTGTCATTTGATGTCATTTTTCCAGATATCGATGGACATAGGCAGTTTACAATGCCCGGAAAGCAACCTTCACAACATTTTCCTGCAGAATATCGATATCCCCCATCAAAGATGACCCCAGAAGAGATTAGTTCTCAATCAGGTTTAGGTGTCCTTGAGAGTGATATAACTGAAGAAGACCTTATCATCACAAAAATGGCTAGCAATACTCGTCGAGCACAAGCTGAGCTAGTGAAACTGGTAAGCTAACTATCCTCAGTTTTCTATATCACAATGTCCACCAACACCATTACAGCGGGAACGGAATGCCGAACTAGAATCCCAGCTGAGTCTTAAGACTAAACTCGTCGCCGATCTCTCGCAACAGAATACGGAGCTGTCTCGTCAGGCCTCGGACACCTCTCATCAGAACTCAGAACTATCTCGACGAATCGGTCAACTGAAATCGACAACCAGAGAGGCAATTGACAAGGCTAACAGGAGGTTTCTGAATATTTCGTGTATCTGTTTTCCATTCGCTGATTTTATGCAGTTGTGTCGAACTCAGAGATTCTTATGAGGGGCTCCGAATGCAATTTCAAGCGTCATCTACTTTGGTGAACGATGCTCAAAAAACAATGGAAAGCCTTGAAGAACTTCGGGATGCCGCTCGTACCGGCCTCCAAGGTCAGTTCAATTTCCGAACTATCATCCTTGCTTCCGCCGGTTTGTGACTTTCGAATAATTAAAGTATTTATCGACGATACTGGTCATCTGCCCAATGTGGGCCAGACGAGGACAATTGTAAACGAGCTACAGGCTGAGCTTACTCGGAGTGAGTCACATCTTCCTATGAAAATCAGCACGGCACATGATATGTGCAGCTCAACAGGTGGCTGATCTCCTGCGAGAAAAACTGCAAAACATGGGTTCTGAGCTAATAGATGCCCGGGCGCGCGTCGCAGAACTGGAGGAGCATTTTGGGAATGACAGAAAGTTGATTTCCTCGACAGCATCGGACCTTGAGCGAACCTGTGAGTTGGGTCATCGTCATCTTGATTAATAGCGATTCTCATGACCATTCAGCCGAACGTGTTGCAGATATAGCTGAGTACCTGAAGCTCCAGAAGCATGAAACAATTGACGCTCTCAGCAACCTTGCGCAAGCGGAGGAACGGCTAGCTCACAGCCAGTCACGGTAGCGAATACATCTGATGGTCATACAATATTGAATAACTCTGCGTATAACAGCTTGCAAGAAAGCGAGGTGATGGTGCATTCCATGCGACAGGAGATGGAATCTATGAGACAGGAGTATTATTTTGCGTTTTTGGCAATTCAGCTGCTGGTAACACAACATTCTTAGAATTTCTGAGCTTGAAGAAGCTGTGCACGATGCTAAGGCGCAAACTCTGATCCTGCAGAACACCGAAAAGTTCCAGGAACAACGCATAAAGGACCTAGAGGGGAGGTGAGTCTTGCAAATTTTACCAATAACGCCTACTAAATTTCAATACTCAGGTCACAGAAGGCCGAGATGGAGTTGGTGCATGCTCAGAATAGATCGCAAGACCTTGAATCGCGCTTGGAAATCTCAAACGATCTTGAGAAAACCCTAGTTCAACAGAATGCGCGTCTCAACTCCGAAGGCGAATCTATCAGGGAGCGACTCCAGATTGCTGAAGCGGAGTTGGCAGATGTCCGGAACCTAGAAAGGGAGCTATCAGCCCAGAGTGCGAGGCTTGTGTCGGAGCGCGATACACTCCTTGACAAACTCAAAACTTCACACGTGCAGCTGGCAGATGCGAAGCGAGAGGAGGAAAGCTACTGCGAAAGGTGGTTTAAGCACTCTTCCATAACGAAATCCTTGACCATTGCAATAGATTCGCAGAAACGCGAACGTCGCTGAAGGTCAGCTTATTGTCATCCAGTCTTTTCATATTTACCTTGCCCCAGGTTCTTCAGGAACGTTTCGATGACCAATCTGTTACTCTCAGGCTCACCAAGGAAAGTGTTGGCGAAGCTCAGGTAATCCCGCGTTTCCTTCACCTCGCCTGAGCTGAGCTCACCTGTATACAGGATCGTCTGCAATCGACAAATAACACGATTTTGGTAGCGTGTACTCTGGTGTCATGTCTACCAGCATATTCATTGCGTGACATAGGCTCTGAACGAAAGGCTGGCAGAATCTACCAACCGCGTCAGTGTTGTAGAGGAGCGCGAACGCTCGTTGCAGCGTAAACTCGACGAAGCCATCGTCACTACAGCTGCCGAACGGGACTTGGTTGGCAGCCTTCGGAAAGAACTTTTAGAATGCCAGTTAGACCTTTCGAGACAGCAAGGGATTCAACGAGCCACAGAGCAGATTGCAGAGCAACGTACTCGCGATGCTGAACGACGAATCGAAGAGCTAAACTCTAAAACAGACTCTCAGCGCGGCGAGCTGGGTGAGAAGCAACAAGTCATATCCGAACTGACCCAGCGCTTGGCTATCGCCGAAACTCCTTCTGGTCTGTACGAACAAGAGCTCCATGTTCTGAAAATGCGCATTCGCGACCTTGAACAATCCGAAGCGCAACTTCTCCAAAGATCGACAAACATTACCGTCCGCCATGAACAGAATGACCTGGTAAGACGGGTATCATTATTTGATGGCTGTTCACCTCGTTCGCTTTAGAATGACAACGAATGGACGCTGGTCCAGAGCCTTGCCCAAAAAGCCAGAGAAGTCTTTGAACGCGAACTAGTGGAAAAGAACAATGATATACGAAGGGTTGGTATTCGCTTCTTCCGATGTGTCACTGATCCCCTTCGGTTTTCAGAGAGACAACCTCATCAAGCAACACGAAGCTCGAATCATGCAATTAGAAGCAAGTCTAGCCCGTCGCATTAGGGAAGTTGTAAGGAACACGCCCTTGATAAATAATGTGCAGCTGACCTTGACTTTTCGCAGCCACAAGTCGGAAGCTCAAGGGACGATAAGCAAGATGAACATTTCTGGAACGAGCCCCCATCCGGACTCCGGGACCAACAGGACTCCGGTGAATTGCCATGCGTGGAAAATTAGACTTAGCTAAAGTATTTCATAGGTACGCATGGGGCAACGAACCATTTAATTGTCAAAGAACCTCGACGTGCCGACCGGATTCCACTCGAAAAGTTAGCGAACGGTGACTCCGATAATGGAGAGTCTGAAGACGAGAAGGACCTGGCAACGCGACAAGTGAAGCGGACGATTTCTCTCGATGAAGATGAGTCGACAAGACCAGCAAGGCGACCGGTAAGTACTCTAGCCGTGCCGTGCCGATTATCAACACGCAACCTGACCGTGAAAGAAAAATTCGAAACACCCGGAAATGGAGAAGACCACATACAAGGTCGGTGTTTTTTTCTCATCGCTTGTCATCAAACCTCGAGTCGGTGTTAGGCCCCAGGTCCATCAAAGAAGACGAACAAGCGACAAAATCGGTAGTTAGCAGGGATGGACTAAACTGCTTCTGTTCATGGTTCAACGAATTTGTCTGGATTGGTCCAGTTTGTGCTGATTGTCTCAGCATCATTATTATGTACCAGTAGTTTCTCTTTTTCGGACTCAAGGTCGTAGAGACGTGGAATTGTCCACGACCTTTTCGCGTGTTATCAGGACTCTGCAATATAATATATGCAATGCATGTAATACATTGCATTCAAGAAATCGGCAATAATACAAGATGTCGGTGGTAAGAACGGTAAATACACTTTCGATGCAATCGTCGTCAGCGAAGTTGAACAAAAGTCAACATGATGGATGAGAGGACCTTATGGATGCTAATAACAATGAGTGAACGAACGGTGGGGTAAAAGTCCAAGAAATGCAAATCGAGAAAATAGGTCTACATATGTTCACCTTCACAATGTCCGGAATTACCCGCTATTCCGGAAGGCGTAACATATCGCCCTCAAAGATAATGTCACCGCGGTCCTGCAAGGCGGCCGCTGCTTTGACGACTTCGGCTGTGTCGAAGTCCTCGTGTTTGTCGGCAGGTATGGCAGAGTTTAAGTAGGTCAGCAGGGAAGATATAGTCATGTCATCCGTGCTGTCATAAGTGGTCATAAATAGGTATGCGATTGACGAAAAAATGAAATCCATCCTGACAGCGGGGCTCAGCCATCAGTATGACCATTTGAAAATACCAAGTCAGGCCAATGAGACAAACGTACCGGCCAGGAACGGTGATTAAGTCAGCAAAACCAAGTACGAGACGGCGGTCCAGACGGCTAGTCGACCCGGAGGCTTCCGCTGGCACATGAAGGTCGCTATCAATTCGTCCCTTTGGGCGGATAGAGCGGACGTTTTGCGATGATCTCTTGCTAGTGGAAGCATTATCAGGGCCCACCCAAGTGGAGACAATGCGGCTGCTTCCATTGTCTAATCGTTGTTTCTTCGTAGTGTGAAGAGACCGAGAATCCAAAATCCTAACTTTGCGCTTATCATCCGTGGGTACGTCCTGGGTATCGTACGGTTCTTCTGACTCTAGTTCGTCTTCGGCAGACATATCATCGTCTGACAAGCTTCCGTCGTCAGGATGGGATGTGCCACCTTTAGCTCGAATTTCTGCAACCTCTGCAGCTTTCTGAGCTCGTCTCTGACTGAAAAAACACAAGTAATGTCAGTGAATAATGTGTGCGACGCGCAAGAAAGTAGATGTGGTGACGATGGTGAAGATACTCACTGTCGGGCTAGACATTTTCCCCGGTGCTGTATCCATGGATACGCGCAGTAAGAACTATCTTGTCGAAGCTGTACCCACTTCTTGCAAAGAGAACAGAAGACTCTGTTCGGCTCGACCTCTTCAACCAGAGGATCAGCCTTGAGAGTTGCAGCTCGTTGTTCGGCATTTCGCCGACGAGACTCGTGAGCTGGAAAATTGGTGGGTGTTAAATCCTTGAAGGATGAAGAAGGCGAGCACGGTGCTGCCGATGGTATGGAAGTTTTTCCTTGGACTGGTGAACCCGAGGGACGTCTTAAAATTGCAGACGCATGCTCAGGGTGAGATTGACCTTCTCGAGCTGCTGTGTCGGATTTTGGTGGCCTTGAAAAAAAATAGGAATAAGAAAGCAAGATACAACGTCAGATTGAGTAGCTCACGATGAAGCTTCCGCTTGAGACGCGGAAGATTGTCCAGCACCCTTTTGACAAGACGACCTGTGGTGGAGCCACTTTTGGACGGCCTGCATATGATTTTCTGGGCTGACTTGGATCCAACGGTCGCAAGTATTGCATAAGACCCGCTCGGCATCAAACTTGCGGACGTCCGGGTCTTTAGAGAGCAATGAATTTCTCTCTTCGAGGGCACAGCCATTCTTGTTGTTACTGGGGATAGATGAGTGCCGAAATGATAAGAAAGGGTATAGATTCGCTCACATCTTTTTTGACAAGCAACTCTTGCGGTGAGCATCCCAAGGGATGGAGCAATAAGTGGAATTAGGACGGAGCCGGATCCACTTGTCGCACGAAGCACACAATACACGATATGCCTCGAACTGTGCAACGTAAGGATCCGCCCTCAGGTAGTCGATGCGTTCCTCTTCAGTACGTTTGGCACGGCGACGTTTAGCGGGGGGGTTGGCAAGGGCCTCTGCCGTACTTTCCGGGGTATATATGACAGGCTCTGGCACTGCCTGAGTGGTGTTGGCACTGCCGTGGCACATTAGAACAAAGACAAATATTGATCAAGGCGACATTGATACCATTGCTGGCGATGGGCGTCCCAGTGTTTCAGGGTAAATCCGTTGGTTGCCTCGTCACGAAACGAGACACCCTCACCACAGACTTCGCACATGACACGACCAGTTTCGTATTCACCTTTTGGAACGGCGACCGAGTCGTCTACACTCTCGCCTTCAGCGTCAGCAGAATCTCCTCGTTCTGGAGGGGTTTTCCGCTTTCGGGAATTTCTGTAGAACGATTGGTGAAAGGGATCATAAGATCGAATAAAATCATACGGAGATGATTCATGGGGCGGCTCTCTAGAGGGAGAGGCGTCGGACCTGGTGTTATCAATTAGCAGACTAAGAATCGGTGGCTGGGAAGGGCAGACAAATACTTATGGTCGTCTACATCCATATGCTCTTCCATAGAGCAATAGTGGGCGATTAGAATGAGAGGAGGGGCAGGAGCTGGGAGAGAATTAGGTATGATATTGGGGGAGTTCGGGAAGGGTTAATATGTGTAAGCTGCTGTTCGGGTGCCAAAACGTATTTACAGAGAAAATATATGTCACAGATCCGGCACTTCCAGAAACATAACAACATTTCATTTCCCACGGCCGGCGAAAAACATCGAAAAAGGTTTTGTACCTGAATAAATTAACCTCGACGAACACCTGAATTTGCTTCCTGTCCGACTCGGTGTCAAATTTATTATGACATAGTACCAGACCGTAAGTGACGAATTGTTCTAGCGTTGAAAAGCCAACTAGTGTACTTGACACGTTTCCATCGATTGAAACCCCCAACTCCCGTTCATCATCGATGCGATTCCCTCGGTTATGATGTCGGAGCTAAACGCTGCATTGCAATGTATGTCGCTTGGTTTAACTGGGCTAGACAAATGACTAAGACGGATATCATTTCGAACTTCCATACCCTCACCGCTTCGGGCCTAGGTCGGAAATTCTAAATTCTGTGTTTGCTCGGCTGTTGTTCACACCTTGAGGCGTACATCGTTCCCCCCATTATCGCCAACATCCCACATTCATCCATCATCGTACCTTGGTCATTGCGCTGTCGGTTTTGTTTGTCGGCTGATCTCCAATCTCATCGCATCCGGCGGCATGTACGGCAACTGCGGCATATTGGGACCTAGTTTGGGAAATGTACTCAACCCATGTGGATATCATCTATTCAAATGTTTTTGTATTTTTCCTGTTTCCCGTGTGAAGAAATCTTATATGTTCAGGTGTTCGGAACCCAACCGCCACGTAGTATTTAGCATCTATCGCCGCACAGGAAAAAAAAACACATGCAGCCATACGGCCTCCTGAACCAATTACCGGGAGGGTTGCTTGATATTCTTTGCAAACCTGCCCACGACTTCCCCGCAGATCTCACAACAGAAAATTGCCGTCGGTTGATTTCCGAGACGACGTTTTCCTTTTGGGATAGACAAGTACGTACAATGTTGGGTGTCGATCACGATACGATGCCTGATTGAGGCACGAAGACACCCCTTTTTGGGTCATTATTGGCGTCTATGTATATTTCGGGTACAACACTCGCCCCTGTTCCAACACCCCCTGTAATATCCATTTTCGCAATAGTCAACGAGTCTACTAATATCGTCAATTCCGCGGACTCTATACAACAGGCGCTCATCGTCCGGTAATTGTAACTTGGAGATCCCAGTCTTACAACGGACATCATATCCTTCCATATCCTTCTCCCTCGATGAACCCCTTCAAACGCTTCACAATTACATCAAGCCCAGACAGCCATTTTGATAGCTCCGCGTCTAATTTTTCCATGGGCGCACCTTGCCCTATACGAGTATAGAAGTCGCGGCGATACGGCGCAGCCCGAACAGCAACCTGAAAGTACAGCAAACAGGAGCTACATGCACAGGAAGCAGACTCTGACGTACAGCCGCTAGAGACCGTACGAAAAACGTATGATGGTGTCTCAACACTTCGTCGTATGAACGCTTGAAGCACACGTGTAGTTCTATCGAATGATCATTCTGCATGTGTTGAAGTGCTATTTCGTCCGAGTCAGTTGCCTTCTATGAACATACACACGGGGATAGAATGACCTCTACACAGGAATGTCAAACCACTCAAGTCACGGTACTGATTAGTGACACATGATAATATTAAAAGGGTCGAACATACCGGGTCAGGCGTATCAAACATCCGGTCCCATGTCGGTCCTCTAATAATTCTTCGCTTCTGACGAGATTCTCGAGCGTGGAGCAACGCGAAGAATCGGCCTGGTAGCGAGTTCGTACACCCTGTATTACAGAAAAAGAATTGAGGGTTGATATAGGGCTAGACGGAGCGGATAACGTTCCCCTATATTGCCCTTTATATCACTCTGAACAAATCCGAATACGCCTGAGCCAAGCAAATCTAGAACGACAGCGCATTTCAAGGGAAAACCGATTACCGAACGTAATCATTATGTCGTACCGAACAACTGAACAAGCCCTTCAGAGGCTTCCAAAAAAACACAGGTTTCCACACCATCGCCGGTGATTGGAACGTCTGCAAATGACTATGGGAGCGTCAGTCTGCGAAATGTAGTGAGGCGAATGACAGTACTTTGACAGTCTCAAAGTATGGTTGAGAAGACATCTTGTTGGTCAAGAAGAACGTTCTACACTACCTGGAGGGGTTAGTGCCGAATCCTTGTGCATTAAAGCCTCGAGGACAAAGGCAGTGACTGCAAGTTTACAGCATAATGAAATTTGGCACGATTTTGCAGGATGGAAAGGTCAACGTGTACTGACATAATACGTAATATTATATTTTCCGCATTACAACTCTTTTGTTCAAGCGATCTTATCATGGACAATCCTGCAGAATTTCATCAACTTCCAGAGGCTGTCTTTAGAACGAGAGCCATGACGTTCGGGGAGACCATATAAGGCTTGTAGTTCAGCAGGAAACTTGATGCTGCCGGTTGCCAGGACACATAGGAACGCTTTGACAGCATTGAAAGAGTCGGCACTAGTAAGTCGCTGCACAAAATAACAAAGGGTTGAATATATGCATGCCCTGAATTTTGGCCCTTGACTCACTCAGCACATCATTTAGGATCCAATGTTGTGGCCTAACGTTTGCTCCATGATTTCCTGTGCGGTGGCGTACCGGTACTTCCACGGTACGTCTCCCTGTCGCAAGCATTCCTTATAAAATCGCTGGTTCAATACTAGAGCTCGTGATGAACATTGTATTGGTTCCCATCAAGGACAGACTCACTTGCGAAAGGAATGCGATCCTGATCTCCCTCTTCCGGACCTTCATCATCCCACAGATCCATTGGTAGTGACGTGTCGTACTCAACAGAGTTCGCCGTCCGCGAAATGCCGTCAGTTCGGGCATTATCTAGCTCAAATGAGCTAGCGGCTGTCGGGCGCCGTTCTGTATTTGACAGAAAACAACAGTCTCCACTTCGGGCGAGTTTCTCGTTCTGTACAATAGAGTTATGTAGTGACTCATTCCATTCTTAGGAGACATTAGCTCACCTCGATCTTCCCAATTTTTGCACACTTCCTCCGATGTTTCATCCACAACCCTGGATAATATCTCGAGCGCTTGTCGAGGCTGATCTCTTTGTCACACCCACGGCACATGACGGATATAGGTCGTACATTGTAGGTGTACTCGTCGTCCTTGAGGTCCTGTTTCCGCTGAGCCTCGGTTTGCCTCTGCTTCCTAAAATCCGCAACTCGGATAAATGGTCCATCGTGCCTGCCGTCAGTGGCACTCATGCTCCCGTTAGAGTCATGTGGAGGACTTAGTGCGTTCGGTGTGGCATCGGGTTCGAAAGGGGGATGAGATGGGGCGGGCCCACCAAAGTCGAGCTTGACTGGACAAGCGAAATAGTGCTTATTGACAAGGAGGTTGATCGTGGGCCAGTCGGCGTGTGTGTCATATTCAAGAACGGTACGGCACCTGCCACACCTGTAAATGTAGGTTTGTTTCGTTGCCGTTTTGGATATGGCAGCAGGCTGAGTGGCGGCGCGGTCCATGTCTATCTAGTTCACGGCGGATGAGGGATTGGTTTTTGATTTTTTTGTGTTTTTGTACTCGGAGACAATGCCCTTTTGGATCTGGTTGTGGACATTTTTTTGTCACAGTGGCGCGAAGTTTGGGGCTCGCCTCGGAGTCAACTTGCATTGTTCGTCCAAGCCACCGGTTCTTGATTACACGAGGTATTCCAAAGGCGAGCAACTATCACTGTCATGAATTTCATTCACAACGTGTTCTCTAAGGATTTGTCACTCTTCTAGACGTTGATTATTCCAGCGCTTTTCGAACCGCAGGGTACATCTTTACATTGTGAAGATGAAGCTTGCCTGACACGATCGTAACAGAAAAACAAATCAGCATAGAAGTCAGGATATCCATTCTGGCTCCTGCCAGGATGCTTAGATCAAATTCGCTATATGTCTAGAACTTCTCTATCGACACAGCCGCCACAATAAATGAAACTGCGCTACATTTGCGTCCACCATGTTCTTAGGTACAAAAAACATCAGTCTCGTTTCGTACGTAACTGGGGTCTTGTATTTCTGTTTTTCACGCTGACTGGAATCACCGAACATTCTAAACGCATTGTTTATGATGCCTAGCCTAGTGGTTCATTCGGTGGAAAGGTGATGAGCCAGAGAGTCTGCATCCTTATGACGTCAAAAACTCCACCTCAATGAAGGCTGTGGTACATTGTTCGGGTCTTCTCTGGCAAGTGGTACTCTATCGTAGGCTTCTAGCAGAGAACTCGGCTCATTTGCAAGATCGCGCGGCGTTGGATGTAAGATGTAAATGGGAAGGATTCTAGCAATCACAGGATGAGTATGAAATTTATTTGTCTGTGGACGCTGGAATAGGGCATCTCTGGCATGGTGGCGCCATTTGGATGGCTTAGTCAGCCGTCGTCGTGGCGTTCGAGCTACCACTGGGTTTCTGTTTGGCAGGTGCATACTATTAATTATCACTCGTTCGTGCACTGCTAGAAACAACACTTTCCTACTATCAATCTTCAAAATAATGCATCATAAGTACACCCTACAAACTTGGATGAACCCAATCTAATAAGAAACAAAAGAGATAGTGCATGAACTAGTGGTAACTAATAGTACAGATTAATATTAGCTGTTTTTGAATTAGGCAGTCATGGAAGGTCTGGAAGGCAGGATAGCATCAGCGAGTTTTTGCCGGATGGTCTAGTACCGTAACTATGCTGGGTGTGGTAACATAACCTTTGCAGATGATTTGTACTAATCAGTAAACAAAAAAACATGGCAGTAAACAGTTTCATTCAATTTTGAGGGACATGCCTGTCAGCGACAGACACATTACAAACTAAGGTAGAGGTCGTGTGGATTCTACCCACCTCACGTGATTGTGACTGACTGTGATGCTGTGCAGGATAAGTGTGTAAGCACATGCAGAGCAATGCTGAACATGCATGAGCAAGCATAAAGAAAATGAAGAAAGGTACTGCATGTATCAAGCTCAGAGATAAAATATGTGCTGCTTATTTAATGAAATGTCAGTCTGATGTTTGCCAAGGGGTGGGTAGCTGTCAGCGCTTCGGTGCTCATCAAACTCCATAATTGAGATGGGAAGTATGCGGTGTCCACAATATTTCTGCCCCTGTGTTTTGTTGCCCATGGTGCGAGGATAGTATCAGCAACATGGCACAGCACATTGGAGTATCATGTGTACATACATTAACGTTACACTCCGCTAACAGTAGTTTCTAATATTTCAAATAACAAATGTTCTACTCCACTTCTCTTAATTCTGGTTAACAGAGAATGACCGCAGTATTATTATCAATGTAACTGAGTAGCCGTTTGATGTAAGGTAGAGGTCATGTGGATTCTACCCACCTAACATGACAAACATGATGAAAAAGTGACTGAAGACAAAAATTGTAATATCAATTGATCAGGAGCCTTATACATCAAATGGCTACTCAGTTACATTGATAATAATACTGTGGTCATTCTCTGTTAACCAGAATTAAGAGAAGTGGAGTAGAACATTTGTTATTTGAAATATTAGAAACTACTGTTAGCAGAGTGTAACATTAACATAGATACACATGATACTCCGGTGTGCTGTGCCATGTGTTGAGAGTCAATGACGTCATCGCTATCGTCGTTCTTCCTTTTCTGGTCTTTGGTATCTCGGACTCTGTACTACAGTTATAAGCTCGCGTTTTTCTTTTCCCTCATACCTCAGTGGTTCTCTTAATGACGCTGAGGTATGTCTCATGTACTGTTTGCATGCTGTCTTGTTCTTACTATGATTTCATCTGTAGACTCGTCTTATAGGTATTGTTAATATACAGCGGTTCTCTTAACGATGCTGAGACTCGTCTTATAGCTCCACTGTTAACAGGTTATGAGCCCTGACTCATAGAGTCATCAAACGGAACTACAAGACTTTTTACTCGCGTTTATTCACTGCTCACACATCCAACTTCATCCTTGTCTACCTTCACGGCGGTATTGCTATGGGTAAATACGATCATATTCCCGAGTTATTGGGCACGGAAAACTATGTCGGCTGGTCCACAAAGATGCAATATGCGCTTGCGTGTGAAGATCTGTGGTGCCATGTCAACACAAATCCCGACCCAACAGATATACTTGGAGCACCATCTTTCAAACCTGTCCCTGTCGATCCCAACAATGTCACACCTGCTGAAGTGGCGGTGATACGGGAATGGCTATTGAATGATATGAAAGCTAAGGACCTCATTACTTGTTGCCTCAGTCCATCTGTTGGAGCACTGGTATCACGCACACACACTGTCTCGTCTCGTGATGCTTGGAAAACTCTCGCTGAGCATTTTAATTGCACTGACACCAGTGCTCAGTATCAACTACAGCAATGACTAGATGCATTACGAATGAAAGATTCTGCCGATGCCACCCACTATGTCGGTCAGCATGCAGTATTTCGTGAACGCCTCAAAGATTCGGGGGCAGCTATGCGTGATGGGGATGCTATTTACAGTCTTCTCATTGGCCTTCCTCAGACCCCCATATGGCAACAGTTCTGGTCAATGTTAGAGCAGCGAATGCACGATGAGGTGATGACAGCATTACCTGGTGCTGCATCTACTTTCACTGTTGATAGCTGCATATCTCGCATCACAGCCGAAGCTGCCTGTCATGTGCACTCGCAGTCGATTCACTCTGCTCGACCAGGATCTGAATACGCCAACACGGCCACTTCCTCTACTACACCTGCATCAAACGTCAATGCTATCACAGGTCTTCGTAAGCACAAACACAATCCTGACGGTATTTTCTGCACTACGCCTGGATGTAATAAAGGCGATCACGACCATGCTCACTGTTACAGAAAAGGGGGTGGCATGGAAGGTCAGGCACCATGGATGCACAATAAGAAGACCGGTTCTAAGGAGACCACAGCAGTTGCCGCAGCGACGACGACCACAACAATAACAGGTCCACCTGTACAATCAACACCTATCATTGCTGCAGCTGTTGCAGATTTGAGTAGTCTCATGCAGGACCTGTCGTTTGCATCAATTGCAGAAATTCCTAACAAGATCGCATGCCCAGCAAATCTCCCTTTCACGACTATATTGGACTCTGGCACAACAGTCACCCTGGTCAGAGATCGTCGCTTCTTTCACACGTACTCTACGGAGAATCCTGTCGATGTACTCACCACCAATCATGGCATTCTCCGGACAACCGGACGCGGAAACTGTGTTGCATGGTTTACGATCGGTCAGCGTCGTCTGCGCATCCGTCTTACAAACTGTCTGCACGCACCAGGGGCACTGTTAAACCTGCTTTCTGTCAGTTGCATGAACGCTAAGGGTTGGGATGTGAATTTCCGTGCGAACATGACGTGCGAGCTCGCTTACAAGGGATCTGCTCTCAGATTCATCCCTGCCACAGGTAAACTGTACGCGCCTGACCTTGAATTCATCCCTTTCGAACCTCCTAGAGCTTTAGCTGTCATTCCAGAGGTTTCAGCATTTGTCGATGTTCCACTGTCACTCGACTTGTGGCATGCTCGCATCGGACATATAGGCCGAGACGCTGTCTTACGTCTGGATCGGGTTGCCAAAGGCGTCACAGTTCAATCCTCAACCCCACTCTCTCATTGTAAATCATGCATCCTTGCAAAGCATCCACGGCAGCCCTACCACTCGTCAGAAACTGAATGTGCTAGAACTTTCCTTGAGTTGATCCATAGCGACGTATGCGGGCCGATACCCACCACCACCCCACACGGCAAACATTATTTCATTGTTTTCCTCGATGATCATACCCACGCGTTGGATCTTCAGCTTCTAGCTTCGAAAGATCAAGCTCTCGATGCTTGGCGCACACTACGTGCCCGATGGGAAAATCTCAGCGGAAAACGTGTCAAAACCTTCCGTTCTGACAACGGGGGGGAATTTCTGAATAGTGCATTCAGTGCCGACTTGGAGGAGACTGGTGTCCAGCATCAATGCTCTGCTCCCTATGCTCATCAGCAGAACGGGAAGGCAGAGAGGGTGATACGTACGATTGAAGGTCATATGTATGCGATGCTGGACTTTGCTCGTCTTCCTCCTAGTCTGTGGGGAGAAGCAGCACTCACGGTGTGCTACTTGTTCAATTGAACTGAATCGCGTGCCTTGCCTGCTGGGAAAACGCCTTATGAGATGCTGCACAAAGTTCAACCCAACCTCTCTCACCTCCGCATTTTTGGAGCACGTTGTTTTGCTCGCATTCCTCCAGAACTTCAGGAGAAGCTCGGACCCCGCTCGTGTGAGGCGATATTTATGGGGTATCCACCTGGAGTGAAGGCATGGCGATGCAGGGACATTGTCACTGGTGCATTCTTCAATTCCCGCGACGTCATCTTCGATGAAGCACTGTCTAACCGTCCTTTCCTGACAGTGATGATGAAGATGACATACCAGCATCAGCACCTCCTCCCCCGGCTGGTATTCCTGCACATCCTGCACATCCTGCCACTGAACCTCCTCATGCAGAGGTCATCCGCCGTTCATCACAAATCCCAGTCCCTACAGGGAAAGGTCAGCTCTTTAAAAACAAGATCATTGCTGACAGGACACGTCTTGCTCGTCAGCGCGAGATCCGTGCTGCAAAGCTTAATGGCACACCTCCTCCCTCCTCTGCTGATGATGACATTCCAGCGGTGCCCATTGTCAATGAACCCACCAGGATGCCAGATCTGCCTGCACCTGCTGACATCGATCCAGATACCATCGCCGTGGACGACGACGAAGTCGGGTTCCCTCAAGTCTTAGCAAACCTCATCACGGTCGAAGTGGCATCACTCTCTGTAAGAAGTGACACTTGCAGAAATCCACTGGCACCAGGCTACAATCTGAAGATTCCACCTGCGACGTTTGAGGAGGCGGTACGACGACCGGACAGTGATCACTGGTTGGCAGCAATGAGGAAAGAGATGAACCTGATGTCAGAAATGAGCGTATATGTGTTACGACTTGGATGGTATCTGTTGGCGACGCTCAAACAGAGCTTGTGTCGTCAACGGTCTGTGGACGTCCTTGGGCTAGCCCAAGGTTAGGGGTCGTACTTGGCGTGTCTTCGGCAAGTACGATTTGACGCCTATGTCCAAATCGGGTAGCTTATGTCACACGGGTGCGAGACGATAAGCTATATCGGCCTAGGCTTACGACACCCGAAGGTTAATCGTAAGGATCGTCGTTAATTAGAAGGACAGAAGTCCGACTAGTTAACAGGGGCTTTGCTCATCGACTTTGTCGATGAGTAAAGGTCGAGACTATAGGCTTATCCGCGATGAGCAGATAAGAAGATAGAATATAGACTGCTGGCGAGGCAGAAGGATCACTCTGGTGAGAGTAGGAGGTCAAGAACCAAGTAGATTCAAGTTAGGGAATATGGTACATGGTGGCGAGTTTATATAGAGGACAGGAGACATATTAGTGGGTGATAACTCGTACTACCGGGAGAGGCAATCGGTAAAGGGTATGACTATAACAGGAAGGCACGTTCGGTCGAGGTAGAACGTGCTAGATAAGAAAGTGAGTCAAAGATCAAAAATAAGAAGTGAAACGTGCAGCTGCGGATCTAAGTATAAGTCGCATGTGCAACTGTGCACCGAGTCAGAGATCAAGAAAGGGAATAGGGCGAAGGGGATGCGTCGTGCATCGCGTCATAGGTTACCGTCCAGACGGTAAGGGCAAGGGGACTATCCACAGGATCAGTCAGGTGGTGAAACGGAGCATGGGTATGCTTCGTCAGCGAAAGGGTCCGGCCAGATGTACTGGCTCTGCTGAAGCAACAGGTAGAGAGCGAAAGGAAATGCGAGGATGACGAGGATGACAAGGGTAAGGTCAGGGTAAGGGTAGGACGCGAGGGCTGATACGAGGAGTATTAGGAGAAAAATGGTAGGGGCCCAAGCGTCTAGATGTTCTTGTAACAATATGAGCTTGTACCTTTACCAGCCGACCGTCGGGCCATAGGCTGCCATTGGGTACTCGAATTCAAGGAGGACTTGAAAGGGGGACCAGTCTTCAAGGCACGCTTGGTGGCCCAGGGTTTCTCCCAAATCCCTGGGGTTGACTTCGGAAGGACCTTCACACCAGTAGCAAAATCTGGAACGATTCGGGTGATTGCAGCTCACGCTGTCGCTAACGACTGGGAGCTGGACTGTTTCGACGCGAAATAGGCATTCCTCTGGGGAAAGCTCCAGGAGGACGTCTACATGCACCAACCCCCCGGTTTTGAACGCCTCAGTCCTGACGGATCTCGACTCGTCGCACACCTACTATCCTCCCTGTATGGGCTCAAACAAGCAGCATACGACTGGTACGAGCTTTTGTGAGAAGTTCTTACTCACCTTGGGTTCCTACGTTGTGAGGCCGACTATGCCGTTTTCATTTTTGATCACATCAACGGCGAAGGGGTAAGGGTGATATGCATCATAGCATGGCATGTCGACGATGGTCTTGCAGGCTCGAACAATTGAGGATTCCTGGATCGCACGAAGGCACAGATTGCCCGACTGCTTCGGCATCACTGATCTCGGTCCTGTGACAAAATACCTCGGCATTCAGTTCATCCACGATCGCAAAACACGCGGAGCTATGGATGCACCAAGAGGACTACATCACATACCTACTCGACTGAGCACGGACTGACCAATTGTAACACCGTGTCACTGCCAATGGACCCAAACTTCCCTTTTGGATGCCCAACTGACGTATTTCCTCATGTCGATGATCTACAAACAGAATACCGCAAGCTCGTCGGAGAACTCCTATATCTGGCCATGTATACACGCCCGGACATTGCGCTCACGGTCATGTGTTTAGCTCAGTTCAACATGTGCGCCGAACCCAAGCACTATGCTGCAGCTAAACACATTTTACGCTACCTGGCCAGGACGATCAATATGTGCACGCACTATGGGGGTGCTGGGATAAACTTGAACCTTCATGGATTCTCGGACTCAGATTGGGCCTCATGCCCCGAGGATCGCATATCCATTTCAGGCTATGTCTGGTTCTATAACGGTGGACCGGTCTCACATTCCGCGAAGAAACAAACGACCCAAGCACTCTCGTCTACTGAAGCAGAATATATGGCACTTACTGGGGCTATCCAGGATGGACTATGGCTTCAGTCGCTCTTCCGCTCCCTCAGCCTTCCTTTATCCCTGCCAATGCAACTTTTCGCCGACAACGCAGGAGCTATCGCCCTATCGAAAGAAGCCGCGAATCATGTTCGAACGAAACACATAGATCTACGTTACCACTTCATCAGATGTCACATCGAGGCCCACACGTTCCTGCCCATCTGGGTCTCTACTCACAAAAACACAGCAGATATCTTTACCAAAGTCTTGCCTTGCCCCGCATTCATTCATCATCATGATGGGTTGTCTCTTGTTTCTGAAGCGCTGACTCATTGAGGGGGTGTGTTGAGAGTCAACGACGTCATCACTATCGTCGTTCTTCCTTTTCTGGTCTTTGGTATCTCGGACTCTGTACTACAGTTATAAGCTCACATTTTTCTTTTCCCTCATACCTCAGTGGTTCTCTTAACGACGCTGAGGTATGTCTCATGTACTGTTTGCATGCTGTCTTGTTCTTACTATGATTTCATCTGTAGACTCGTCTTATAGGTATTGTTAATATACAGCGGTTCTCTTAACGATGCTGAGACTCGTCTTATAGCTCCACTGTTAACACCATGTTGCCAATACTATCCTTGCACCATGAGCAACAAAACATGAGGGCAGAAATATTGTGGACACCACATACTTCCCATCTCAATATGAAGTTTGATGAGTGCTAAAGTGCTGACAGCCACCCACCCCTTGGCAAGCATCAGTCTGACTACTTATACAATGAGCAATACATTTAGTGCTGCCATGGTCCAGTCCCAAACCACGGTTCGAACCTGACCATTGGTCAGATTCATCCTTGGTTCCATGGTCTAGCATTTTGCATGGACCAAACCAGAATGAGGTTCATGGTCTGCTAACTTCCTAAGCAGTTCATCCATAGGTTTGGACCTTTCCAAACCATTCTGAACCCCGAACTGAATCTTCCTTGCCTTGAAGTTGTGATCCACACATGTATGGTCATTTCAACTTCTTGATCCTCAAGATTTGCCATGATCACTTTTGTTAAAGTGAGGGCTAGACACAAGCCTCAGTCATGTATGAAGAGACTGAGATTAATGTAGTACTATGAACCTAGACACAAGCCTATAGGTACATGTAGTGAGTACAATGATATAATAGATGGAAACAAATGATACACACCTCAGTCATGGGTGAAGAGACTGAGGTGCATTAACGGATATTTGACATCTTAAGTAAGATTGAGAGAATGGAAAGGGAATGGAAAACAGAAAAACAGAAGGGATTAGGTACTAGTAAGTGTCTCTGATTTATACATGTCACTTGTCATCATATCCGGGTGGTCAGACGGACACTATTAGCTGCTCTTGACACTCCCACTCATTGGACCATCTAGTACAGTCTGTAGTAGTTGCGAGAGTTCGATGTGGCCAGCATGTCATTAATGTAGACAACAAGCCAGATGATCCTGTCCCCTTCATGGAGGACATATAGGCTATGGTCATCCTTGCTTCGAACAAACTTGAATCCTTCCTTCCACAGGTACTCATCAAGCATTTGGTTCCACTCATAGCTGGCCTGCTTTAGCCCGTACAGCGCCTTTTCCAACTTCCATACCCAGTTCAGATGTTCCAGATACTCAAAGCTGGCTGGTTGCTTGAGGTATATGTCTTCCTTAAGCTCAGCATTGAGAAAAGCCATATATACATCCATTTGATCTAATTTGAGGTCAATTTTTGCTGCAAGCACGAGGAGGATCCACACAGTATTGTATTTAGCTACAGCTGCAAAAGTTTCTGTTACAAGAACATCTAGATGCTTGGGCCCCTACTATTTTTCTCCTTATCCTCCTCGTCTCAGCCCTTGCATCACACCCTTACCCCGACCTTGCTCTCATTATCCTCATCATCCTTGCATTCCCCTTCGCTTTCTACCTATCGCTTTAGCAGAGCCAGTACATTTGGCCGGACCCTTTCTCTGATGAAGCATACTCATGCTCCGTTTCACCTGATGACTAATCCTGTGGATAGTCCCCTCTACCCTTACCATCCAGACGGTAACCTATGGCATGATGCATGCTGCATCCCTTTGCCACATTTCCCTTTCTTGTTCTATGACTCAGTGTGCAGTTGGACATTGTACTTATACTTGGATCTGTTACAAGAACATCTAGACGCTTGGGCCCCTACCATTTTTCTCCTCATCCTTCTGGTATCAGCCCTCGCATCATACCCTTACCCCGACCTCACCCTTGTTATCCTTGTCATCCTCACATTCCCTTTCACCCTCTACCTGTCACTTCAGCAGAGCCAGTACATCTGGCCGGATCCTTTCGCTGACGAAGCATACCCATGCTCCGTTCCACCACCTGACTGATCCTGTGGACAGTCCCCTTGCCCTTACCGTCTGGACGGTAACCTATGATATGATGCACTATGCATCCCCTTTGCCCTGTTTCCTTTCTTGATCTCTGACTCGATGCGCAGTCGCACATGCGACTTATATTTAGCTCTGCAGCTGCACGATCGTGCCCCTGCGTGTTTCACTTCTTATTCTGATCTTTGACTCACCTTCTTATCTGCACGTTCAGAGCTCACCCGTGTCTCACCTCGAACGTGCCTTCCTTTTATGGTCATACCCTTTACCGTTTACTTCTCTTGGTAGTACGAGTTATCATCCACTAATATGCCTCCTGTCCTCTATATAAACTCGCTACCATGTAACATATTCCTTAACTTGAATCTACTTGGTTCTTGACCTCCTACTCTCACCAGAGTGATCCTTTCTGCCTCGCCAGCAGTCTATATTCTATCTTCTTATCTGCTCTTCGCGGATAAGCCTATAGTCTCGATCTTTACTCATCGACTTCGTCGACAAGCAAAGCCCCTGTTAACTAGTCGGACTTCTGTCCTTCTAATTAACGACAATCTTACAATTAACCTTCGGGTGTCGTAAGCCTAGACCGATATAGCTTATCGTCTCGCACCCGCTTGACATAAGCTACCCGATTTGGACATAGGCGTCAAATCTTACTTGCCGAAGCCTCACCAAGTAAGACCCCCTAACCTTGGGCTAGCCCAAGGACGTCCTCGACCGTTGACGACACATGCTCTGTTTGAGCATCGCCAACAGATACCATCCAAGTCGTAACAGGATCTGCAGTTGCATGATTGTGCCTCTGCTTGTTTCATTTCCTATTTCTGTTCTTTGACTCGTTTCGTATTTGCACATTTCAGTTTGCCTATGACTCACCTCAAATGTGCCTTCCTCTTTTAGTATCATCCTTTGACCATCTCTTCTTTTGGTAGTATGAGTTATCATCCACTAATACACTTCCTCCCTCTCTTCTAACTTGCTACCATGTAACTAGTTCTCTAACTTGAATCTACTTGGTTCTTGACCTCCTACTCTCACCAGAGTGATTCCTTCAGCCTAGTCAGCTGTCTATATTCTACTTTCTTATCTGCTCATCGCAGATAAGTCTCTAGTCTTGATCCTTACTCATCAACTTTGTCGTTGAGCAAAGCCCCTGTTATTAGTTGGACTTCTGTCCTTCTATTAATGCAGATCTTACGATTAACCTTCGGGTGTCATAAGTCTTGGTAGATATGCTTATCGTCGAGCCCCACTTGACATAAGCTACCCGATTTGGACATAGGCATTAAACCTTGCTTGCCGAAGCCTTGCCAAGCAAGACTCCTAACCTTGGGCTAGCCCAAGGACATCCTCGACCATTGACGACACACGCTCTGTTTGAGCGTCACCAACAGATACTATCCAAGTCCATAACAAACATATCCAGGTGGTCAGATGGACACTATTAGCTGCTCTTTGACCTTTGGCATCCCCAAGACTTGTTTTGACTTATTCTGTCTGGAGGCTCACATCCTGTACACCCTGCTGTCCAATAAAGCCTACCTGTCCAATTAAGGTACAACTTTTCTGTTATATCAAGTGCAATAAACTAATTGATATATTATATTGATATATTTTTTATGATCCATCAATGCATACTATGAGTTAGGAGATTTGGTATTCACATATAAAGGGAAGGTAAGTGACATATTTTGACTACTGGTACAATGTCTGAATCTGAAGCACAGTGTGCCCTCAACCCAGATGGGTCTCTAAAGGATGCCAAAGACATTGTCTTTTACAACAATCCTGAAGATGCTGTCCTCATTTCTGCTCCATCCTCTGCCCAGCCAGCTACTACTCCCACAGACGCCTCCTCTGTGCTACTGCAGACTGGACACAAATTGGTGCCACTTATTGCAGGTGCTCAATGCTCTGTTCACACCTCTAAACCTTCTGCATGCCTCCGTGATGCCAACAATGCTTGTTCTTCAACAAGCCACAAACATGCATTATCTAATGCGACCGAGCAACTAGTTAGGAAAAAGGTTGTGTTACAGCTCTCTGCTCCATTATCTGATGATGAAGGCTCTCATGTGGCTGGTGCCGATATGGATATTGATATGATTCTGGTGCTAATCAATCAGATGAGGCTGAGGATGAAGATGTACCAGCACCTGAGGACAAATCTGAGGACAAACCTGAAGATCTTCAAGACATCTGAGCCACCTTATCAAAGAGTGGGTGCACCACTGATATTCAAACTATTTTCACTCGTGACAATAAACATTGGGTCTGCAAACCTTGTAAGTATGTATTCAGCACTACATGTGGCTACTTGCTAATGTTCGGTAGGGATACTGGTGAACTTGAAAGCAGGCACACCTTTCATGGAGGTATCTCTACACTATAAATGCACATTTGTCAGCATGTTTGTGTCTTCTTTCTCTTAAATGATTACTGATATATCTATTAGTAATAAAAGCCATTTTCAATTCTACAAATCATGCTGTGAAGCCACAAACATCACCATGCACCCTTAAGCGGTTCCAACTGGTGAGGTTCAATCCCTGTGAATTACATTTGCCATATTGTAGTGTGTTGTACTGATTCATAGATAGTTCAAGACAATCTACCCTCGACAGCAGCCTTGTCCCAAAAGTGCCTATGTTCACCAGCAGGGCTTCTGAAGTATATCATGGAGCTTATTGTGACTGAGGACAAGGCATTGCAGCTTATCAAGAAACCAGCCTTCCGCAACTTACTTTGTTATGTCCGCCCCACTCTTTCTGAAAGTGACATGCCTCACTGCACAAAACTTATAGAGACTGTTAAGGCCTATGCAGTAGATGTGGTCAGCATCATTTGTGAACATCTCACAAAGGTAGATAGTCAAGTCTTGATGACTTTTGATTTGTGGATGTCAACCATTGGCAACCCTTTCTTCTGCATCACAGGTCATTATATCTGGAGCCTAGAGGACAAACCTCAGCAATAGAAGTTATGCCACGAGTAACTCAGTTTTGAACACATTGAGGGCAATCATAGTGGACAGAATACTGCTTGCTTAATTATTGATACCATTGACACATACAAACTATGAGATAAGGTAAAGTTTAGTCTACTACTTTGCTGTGCTGAATCTAATCAGTGTGTTGTAGGTTGGATGGATGACCTCCAATAATGCCACCAACAATGATACTGCCATGCAAGCAGTTGGACATGAAATCAATCCCGAGGGTATGCAGTGGGCACCTAATGTGTGCCACATTAGGTGTCAAGAACATATACTGAATCTTGCTACATGCAACTTCATTGATGCAGTCACACCCACTCCTCAAGCTGCTCTTATGAAGAAGATTCATCAGGCACTTGATAATGGCAATGATGATGACCTCAACACCTTAAATAACCAGCTTTCTTCCATGGATGTCAGTAACAAGTAATGACAACGACAATGACACCTTATTTAATACTAGTGATTCGCTTGGCAAAGCTCTTGCCCTCATTAAGCAGGTACGTGCTATCATTATTAGACTATTCTTTTTGCTAATTGAGATCCTCAGATCCAAAAGTCCCCTCAAGCTCACATGTTTTTCCATAAGGCCTGCAAAGAAGAGAATGTACCTGAACTTGAGTTGTTGCAGTAGATCAGAACTCACTGGGCTTCACTATATAAATGCCTGGACTGCATGTTGCTCTTGCATCAAGTGAGTTTTTTTTCTTTCAATGTTTAAAAGTGGCCTAATTTTAATTAAATAGGCCATGAACCATTTCACAAACCTTACTAATGAAAGCAAGGAAGTGCTGACTCTTCACAACAAGACTTATAACAACTTCAAGCTCGATTGGAGTGATTGGAGACACCTCAGGCTTATTCATTGAGTCCTCAAGGAACCAGCAATGGCTCAGCAATCATTCTTATCAGCAAAACATCCAACTACATGGAAAACAATCCCTACACTGGAGTGCCTTACTGATCAATGGAGATCCATGGCAGATGACCCACAATATGTACTAATTGCTGATGCAATTAAGGCAGGCCTCAAGAACATCGACAAATACTTCAAGAAAATAAGTCAATCGGACATGTATTTTATTTGTCTTGGCGAGTACTTTCAATTTCTACAACTTGTTCTTATCTAATATAATTTAAGTTCTTGATCTGAACTATAAGCTCACGTATGTTGAAGGTCAGTGGGATGCTGAAGATGTTGCAGATGGCAGGGCTCGTCTGGAGGCCATGGTGAGTACTTGTCTATGTTGTTTTCCCTCTTTCATCTTATTTTTGTAGTTCAATGACTATTATACACCACCAAGTCGCACACCTACCAAAGAGCAATCTGCTCTGCCAACAAGAACTGTATGCAAGCACTATGGTGATGATTGGATGCGCAAGGCTATTAGGATACGTCGAACATCAGACCATCTTACTTACAATCCTCAGCAAGAGCTTAACATGTATTTGTCTTCACCGCTAGAGGAGACTGATGACATTGTGGCCTGGTGGGGGGTAAGTTATCTTTTTGACTTGTTTTTTTGCTACTAAATCTACTTAATAGCTTCACTCACTGCAATACCCTACACTTGCGTACATTGCGTGAGACTATCTACACATTTAAGGCAGCTCCATTCCCTCCAAACAAGCATTCTCAAGTGGAGGGATCACTTCTACTGTGCAATGCAATGCACTCGCAACTTCCACATTCACTGCATTACAATTGTTAAAGGGAGCATATAGGAATGAGCACCTTTCTGCAGCAACAGAGGCTGAGGGACATGCAGTTTTATTGGACATGTAACTACCAGTACAGATACTTTGACTATGTTTTTTTCCTGGCTGTTACAAGAACATCTAGACGCTTGGGCCCCTACCATTTTTCTCCTAATCCTCCTCGTATCAGCCCTTGCAGCATACCCTTACCCCGACCTTACCCTGGTCATCCTTGTCATTCTTGCATTCCCTTTCGCTCTCTACCTATCACTTCAGCAGAGCCAGTACATCTGGCCGGATCCTTTCGCTGACGAAGCATACCCATGCTCCGTTCCACCACCTGACTGATCCTGTGGACAGTCCCCTTGCCCTTACCGTCTGGACGGTAACCTATGATATGATGCACTATGCATCCCCTTTGCCCTGTTTCCTTTCTTGATCTCTGACTCGATGCGCAGTCGCACATGCGACTTATATTTAGCTCTGCAGCTGCACGATCGTGCCCCTGCGTGTTTCACTTCTTATTCTGATCTTTGACTCACCTTCTTATCTGCACGTTCAGAGCTCACCCGTGTCTCACCTCGAACGTGCCTTCCTTTTATGGTCATACCCTTTACCGTTTACTTCTCTTGGTAGTACGAGTTATCATCCACTAATATGCCTCCTGTCCTCTATATAAACTCGCTACCATGTAACATATTCCTTAACTTGAATCTACTTGGTTCTTGACCTCCTACTCTCACCAGAGTGATCCTTTCTGCCTCGCCAGCAGTCTATATTCTATCTTCTTATCTGCTCTTCGCGGATAAGCCTATAGTCTCGATCTTTACTCATCGACTTCGTCGACAAGCAAAGCCCCTGTTAACTAGTCGGACTTCTGTCCTTCTAATTAACGACAATCTTACAATTAACCTTCGGGTGTCGTAAGCATTGGCCGATATAGCTTATCATCTCGCACCCGCTTGACATAAGCTACCCGATTTGGACATAGGCGTCAAATCTTACTTGCCGAAGCCTCGCCAAGTAAGACCCCCTAACCTTGGGCTAGCCCAAGGACGTCCTCGACCATTGACGACACACGCTCTGTTTGAGCATCGCCAACAGATACCATCCAAGTCGTAACACTGGCTGTAATTTTTTTGCATTCAGTTTGCGTTTGAACCAAAAAAAAACCAAACCTGACTGCTTCAAACCATTTACAAAGGTTCGGTCTTAAGGTTCATTGATATAGGTAGAACCAAACCTTGGTCCAGTTCTTGGTTCTTGTCCAACCACCTCTGAACCAGACAGAACCGAACCACAGCAGCACTAAATACATTATGTTGCTTACTACTGATATACTACATATACATTTGACTAAATAAGCAGCACATATTTTATCTCTGAGCTTGATACATACAGTACCTTTCTTCATTTTCTCTATGCTTGCTCATGCATGTTCAGCATGTGCTTACACACTTATCCTGCACAGCGTCACAGTCAGTCACAATCACGTGAGGTGGGTAGAATCCGCACGAGCTCCCGATCAATTGATATTACAATTTTTGTCTTCACCTTATAGAGAAATTTACTAAGAGTAAAACCGGCATCTGGCTTTGGAGCAATATTTCTTTAAAATCATTCTTGAACTTTCAAGTGTTTCCTTTCGTGTTTGACTCATCAGTACACTACTAGTAATCGGTGGGGTGGATTGTACTACAGGGTGCTACAGAGCACTCTGTAGCAAATCATGTTTCTCTGATCTAGTAGTACGTCATGGGTGTGCCAGTTACAAGAGCAGGAGCACGCTGCAGCCAAGAGTTCACCACTCAGACGTACTGAAGGCTAATTTGTACGTAGTCATTGTTATTAGTATGAGTACCCCAAAACGCTGACTGCGCTTTCAGAACACCGATTCATTCCACTTCGAACAAAACGCAGGGTAAAGTGCCGTACGATCGATCGACTCGCCAAGTATGTAGGTTATCATAGAGCACCTGCTGATCGCCCGCGCAAGAACTGAGACAAGGGAGGAAGCTACCTTCGAGTCCAAGAGCAACATCGGAACTCGCTCTGGCAAAGGTAACCAACGAAGAAGTGTGCCACCAGATGGAAAGGCAATAAGAATCCAACGAGATAGAAGACGACCCATGTAAATTCCAGACAAGGAATAGGATCAAAACTTGCTGCCTCAGTTAGCTTTACTCTGCCCTGCGCCTCTCTTCGCA